CACAGCAGAATTAGATTTTTAGGTAAAAAAATAATACTCATTTGCAGTAAAATAAAGCTTTGCTGATCATTCAACACAGTTTAACAATAAATGGTCTTAAACACTGGAGTTAATGTATAACTAATTCACCCTTTAACCCTGAAGATTGGCGCGCAGACTGCTGGTCACCATATCAACACACAACAACCTCACCTAGCTAGTAGCTAACGAAAAGGCTGAGAGAGATTTAAGACGAACATTGATAATTTGGAGATGAATGGACTTATTTGCAATTATAATCACTCCAGCTGGTTTCCTGATATGTTTAATCTGTAACAAGAAACTGCCAAACACTAAAGTTGCAAAGCTGAAGTCAGTTTCTCATTCAGATTTTCCCATTCCACCTTAAATGATGCAGCAGTTACATTCTGGTACGTCAGGCATCATTTAAGGTGGAATATGAAAATTTGAACATGAAGCTGGCGAATGAGAAGCGACTTCAGCCTCATTAAAAAATCAAATATTTAGAGACATTTTTCAAAAACTATTCCTTTTGAGGAAAACTTTCCTGCTAGAGATGTGAGAAAAGCGGCTATAGCTGAGCTAAAGCTTAAAGCAGAGCAAATTAAGCATGTGTTTTCGTTTATATTATATTTTTTAGCCTATACTAGGACATTAGCACGTACTGAGACATATTTACAGCCAAGATGGTAAAATTGACATTGTTGTGGCTCCCAAGGTGGTTTGATTTTTGTCGAAAGGCCAAAATGGCTTTTCTCAGCATTTGGGTTGCCGACCTCTGCACTAGCTTGTTGTGCCCTGTGCACAGCCCAAGATAACTGCTGATGCTATAAAGCTCACCTTTTGTGGTACAGATAGAGCCATAGAACTGTAGAAATATCAAATTCTGAACCTTGATGTGCGTCTGCAGTCACACTCTTCTGTCCTAACAGGTTGCAGGTCCAATGTTATCTTAAAATCATCCATCTTATCAATGTCTCATTTTGTATGAGCACAAATACAAAACAACTAAGGTTTGCATGCATAAAGCCTGTAAACTTGTTACTTGGCAACACGTCAGCGGAGTGATACAGTTTTGCTGTGGAAAAAACAGTGCTGTTGTCACAAATATCAGCACGATTACAACACTTCTCAACCAATCAGGTCGGAACCAAATGTTGCATAATTATTATTAGTATATGGAACAAATGAGACTGTCTAATATAGTCTAATACATAACCGGTGTATACTGATAAATCAGTGTGATGAGTCAGTTATTAATCTCAGTGTTACTGAACTGCTTTGGGGGATGATTAAACTGAACAGTCTTCTGAGTAGTTTAAATGTTCACAAGTGATAAGCGATAGTGTTGTACTGGACTTCTGCATGCATTTGGCCATGTTACATATAACATTATTAACTAAAAATCATACAGCTACCCACGTTACTGTCAAATTAGCAATACAATAGATTTTATTATTGGGATATGGCAAATTTTTGGTGAAAGGGTAGCATGATTATAAGAGCAATAGTGGACTGAAACGGGCCATGAGAGCCAAAATAATGTTGGGAATTTTGTAATCATTTTTGCATTCATTTGAATAATTTAATTTTTTCATGAAACATTAACATAATTACATTTACTGCCAACCAGTAAGAGTAAGGAACAGTGTGAAATAAAAAGTACTGCAGAGGTTTTCTCAGATAATGTATATGTATTCCAAATGTTTTCTAAATACATTACTTTCTTAAGTATTGTAATGCGGGGGTTCTCAACCTTGTCCACCTCAAGACCCACCTGTTTATCACTAGAAAGCAGGAATGCCCACAAGATAACAAAACTGAACAGTTTTGCTTAAAAATGTAATTTTTGGGAAATTTTCAATACAGTGATATGTGGGGGGCTGCTCGTGCAATATGTGATGTATATCAGTGAACATGAAATATATAAATATATTTATATATTTTAACTGGTGATATAAATATAGAAATTAGCTGGTAAAGGAGTGACATGCACAGTTACACAGACATACACAGTCCATCTCTTGCTCAAATGTTGTTAAACTTCAGGAAAAAGATGTCAAGGTGTCATGAAAGTCTAACAAAAGCGAGAGCAAAATGGATGCTAACAGGCTAGCCTGCTGCCTAGCATTTCGCCTCGTCTATGTATTTGAAAGTAACCCTTAAAATAAAAAATGACAACAGTTTTCCCACAGTTATTTCCCACCCAAGTAGTCTGTTTCACTCGGAAATATGTCACGTTAAGAAAAAAAAAGCGTTTTGATTTCCAATTCAACTTTAAGAGCATTTGAGTGTGTAGTTACAAGTACCATCTTAATAGGCCGTTAATAATCCTAATTTTCTGCATTGCATATAAGAAGCCCTATCTTAGGCTAATTACTTACCTGCACCCTATGTCATGGTCTATTACAATGTTTGTTTTTTTTTAATTGGCTCCTCTGATTGTAGTCTGTAATCATCATTAGACAAAGACTGATTAGTTTTTCTTTGTCATTGCAGCTTCTGTCAAAAAGTGGTACAGCAAGGATCAGAACATATTTCCTGTGCCGTGGCAGACCACCTTTAACAAGCCCCTGGACAGTTTGGCAGTGGAGGCTACACGTCCAACCCAAAACAGTTAGGAGCACAATATGTATCCAATTTAACGATGTTTTTTTTCTGTTTCTTTGAAAAATGTTGTCTTTAGTTGTCTTACTAAAATAAATAAGCAAATGTTTTATTGGTACTTTTTTTGTCAGCTGTCTTATTTTGAGAACAATTATGAATATATGATATAATGAATATAATATGTAAGCATGAATTCATGGTTGAAGTTAGGTTGAATTCAAGTCGATGAAGAACGTTGGGTATTGACGTCAGCCTGAACAGCTTGAAAAAGGAGTCGTTGCTTTGTGTTTTTTGTTGTTGTGTGTGTGTGTGTGTGTGTGTTTAATTTTTTTATTTTACTTTATTTTTTTTAAGGTGACTTTCAGAAAGGCGTTAAGGTGGCCACAGCTAGGATGGGGCAGTCATGGTACAGGTGGTAGAGCGGGTTGTTCACTAATTGCAGGGTTGGCAGTTCAATCCCAGACACTTCCTATTGGCAACTGTAGTGCACTTGAGCAAGGCACCCAAATGCTCTGTCCGACGTTGGAGGTTGATGCACAGCCAACGCTGGGTTTTGACATCAGCCTGATTTTTCATTTGCAACCAAAATTCAACCTCTGTCCAACGTCGGTGATTGACGTCAAGCCAACGTTGGGTTTTGGCGTCAGCCCGATTTTCATTTTCAACCAAAATTCAACGTCTGTCCAACGTCGGGGATTGACGTCAAGCCAACGTTGGGTTTTGGCGTCAGCCCAATTTTCATTTTCAACCAAAATTCAACGTCTGTCCAACGTCGGAGGGTTGACGTCACACCAACGTTGGGTTTTGGCGTCAGCCCGATTTTCATTTTCAACCAAAATTCAACCTCTGTCCAATGTCGGGAGTTGACGTCACGCCAACGTTGGGTTTTGGCGTCAGCCCGATTTTCATTTTTAACCAAAATTCAACGTCTGTCCAACGTCGGGAGTTGACGTCAAGCCAACGTTGGGTTTTGGCGTCAGCCCGATTTTCATTTTCAACCAAAACTCAACGTCTGTCCAATGTCGGGAGTTGACGTCAAGCCAACGTTGGGTTTTGGCGTCAGCCCGATTTTCATTTTCAACCAAAACTCAACGTCTGTCCAACGTCGGGAGTTGACGTCAAGCCAACGTTGGGTTTTGGCGTCAGCCCGATTTTCATTTTCAACCAAAACTCAACGTCTGTCCAACGTCGGGAGTTGACGTCAAGCCAACGTTGGGTTTTGGCGTCAGCCCGATTTTCATTTTCAACCAAAACTCAACGTCTGTCCAACGTTGGAGTCCAACGTCTGTCTGACGGCAAATTGACGTCCTGTGCCTGCAGGGAGTATTTAGTTATTTTTCATCAGTACATTTTCTTCATGTACAAAATGTTAAAGCTAAAAATTTATCCAGAGAATTAAGTGGGAGAAAAAAAAAATCAGAACTGGTTTTGGGACTGGAAATTACTAGTCAAATGTACTTTCAGGATTAAAATAATTATATTAAATAGAACAAAAAAAAGAAAAGAAAAAGAAAATGTACTGCAGCCATCCTACTTTTTGTGGGGTTTAACATAGAACAGTACAGTAATAGTGTCATCAGTATCTAAAATATCTAGGCTAGCAGTGTTTGATAAAGGTTACCTACAGTGGAATATGCCACTAATTAAGTGAAATAAGCTAATAACAAAGTTAAATTTGTCTGTGGCCGAGCAGAATAATCATTTGTAAACTGTACATGGCATTTGAGTAAATACTTAAAAGAACTGGCACTTAAACCACACATGTCCAGGGACAACTTTTCCCACCCTGATAACCCACATTTAGCTGAAAAATTCACATCGTTGTCTCCAGATGTTTTCGTTAAGAGATCATGTCTGGCCGTGTGAGATTACTGATTTGCATGAGGATGTTGGAAGCAAAGTGGTAATCACCAATTTATGTGGATTTCCACCACCTAGTGAAAAAATTGTATTGCTCAAATGTTGCTCTTTTACACCTCAGGAGACTTAATGGTGATTCTCCTAAAGTTCCTTAGACACTTCTGGGCCAGATAAAGATTTTAATAATTACTCATAGTAATCACACAAGAGAAGGCTCTTAATCTTGAATGAGAAATGTTTGAGTTCATATTTTAGTTTTGTTGCAGCTAAACATTAGCCGTATTATCTCAGGCACAATGTGTGACTTTATTTAGACCTCACTTTAAAACTCAAGAGGAGATGTGAGATTTCTCAGGAGAAACATCTGAGCAAATATCTAAGCAAATGTCTCCTTTGTCTTTCCACCTGATCTCATTGTTGTCTAGAAGGAACTCCAGTGATATTAAGAAGACCTCTTTTTTCTTTTCTTGTCTTTTCTTTTCTTTTGTATATTGCACTTGAATGTGTAAAATAATTTCCAAAGAACACTCCCAAATATTTTACAGGTATTTTATTGGACATGGCATGTGTACTCCAATGTTTGAGCAGCTAGGCTACACAAGTGAGGCGTATGTTCTTCCTTAAAGGTGTAGTAGTTAAGATTTCTTTATCACAATATCAATACATCATCATGACAGATCAGTAGCTACTGTAAAAATGTGCTAAGGCAGTATCATCTCACTCAAATGCCTCTGGTAGATGCACATTATTGTTTGAAAACAAAAGTCACACAACTGTTCCAAATCCTGAACATTTTACCAGAAGACCATTTTGTAGGCTTGTTCTTGTTACTAAGTGAGTCTAGCTAGAACTAAAATGGACACTCACTGCATGTTTGACTGTCTTAGATCATGAAAGGAGTTGGGACCTTTTTCCAAAGAACAGCTGCTGTAAAACAGATGCCAATCTTACCAACTACACCTTTAATCTGTGGCTAAATACATAATTTATCTTTTCTTTCTTTGCTTAAAATGTCATCCTTCACAGGTGATCAGAAGGCATTGGTAGACTTTTGCAGGATCTTGGTTAAGGTCTCACTTTGGGATAGACAGCTTGCTTTAACTTTATCTAATATCTTGACCATGTATGCTAATGTTGTAAAGACATTTGCAATTGTAAGTTTAGTGTACACTCTTTAAAAAATAAAAATTCTTTTAGAACCATTTTTGTAAATGAGATGATTTATAATGAATATTGAATATTTCAAGTTTGAAGAACCTCAATGTAATGCTAAGGTTCAATTAACTGGCTTATTGACATTCAGCTCTAGGAATTAATGCTTTATCTGGAGTTTTTTTAAACATTAAAAAGGTTCTTCACACTCACATCTCATTTCCAAAAATGGCTCTTTAAAGAACTGGAAGGCTCTTTATGGAAGCAAAAGTGGTTGTTATATAGAATTGCTGCAAAGAACCAAACCTTCTGTTATTTTTAAGAATGTAGTTGAACAGAGGGGGTTAATTGAGAGTTTTCCACTTTTATGGTTGCACCTTGATTATCATGGTACATCTCATAGGAAATCTGAGGAGCTTAATGTATCCAGCATTCCTAGTGCTCAAATAACTGTTTCTCTCATGTAATTATATCCAAGCTGTTTTCCACCTGCTCCATCTACAAAACCACAGGTCAGGAATTAGACATGTTAATATCATAATAAAGACAAAACTATATTAAAAATGTCCTATGCTTCAGTAGTTTGTACTCATGGGCAGTAAGGACAAAAGGTGTCAAAATCTAAATGCCACCCTTAAAACAAAGGAAATTACAGTGTGGATGACAAATATTTCATAAAGCCACAATTTTGCAAGTGTGGTTGACCGCACGGAATATACAAAGGAATGAGCGAATGAGCCTAATCAAATGAACTCATAACCCTGTTCTTGTTTTTATTTCATTTCAGCCTTAGTTTATACATCATCCTTCGGCTCCAGGTCCTTGTCAAAGATTTTATAAGGGAACTTGTATATTCATTTGTTTTTAAATAGACTGTTTAAAGAACTCATTACTGAACTAATTTGTTATTGTGAACTGATAAATTAGCCAGTCTCTGAAGCTCTTACAGATTGTGAAATTTACATTCAAAATGATGTTGCCTGCTTGAAAAAGTCTTCTGAAAGCCTAGTAATGAAAGGGACTAAACACGACTAATTTAGTTGTTACTGTGATTTCAGCATAAGCAGTCATGGTAGCGGTCATCACACATTACTGCAGATTAGACCTTCAAATTAGACATAAGAGTTAAGAGCCAGTAGCCTTAATCAAACAATCGATCTTGTTAAAAAGCCGAATGTCCAGCTTTGAAAGGAAGACATGATTTTAAAACAGTACAACAAACAAACAAATAAACAAGCAAGCACTACTAAAACTGTTTAAATGTTCAACATTAAAATGGAATTTCATTGTGTCTGAAGCTTAGGTTTTTCTAAAGTGCTGCCCTCCTGGCTACCTTATTACATCTGTAAAAGTTCTACAAAAATAAAATACAAACAAATAATCAGATCAACTGAACTGAAAGCATGTACGTACAAATGTCTGATTTCTGCAATAGTTACAGTCATAAACGTAATGTGTAGAGCAGTGAAACATATGTTTCATTACATTGAGTGGTAAACATAACATTTTCAATAATTCAAGTAAAGGTTAACGGTCATAAACAAATTACCTTAGCCTTCAGAACCTTCTGTTCCTAATACAAAATAAAATTCATTTTAAACTTTAGAAAATCCGTCGCTCATAATGTGACCCACTATCATGGGCGAAGGACTAAAATATACAGCCTAATAATTCTGTATGGAAGGGGATACACTTCAGACAGCTGTAAACACATTTAAAGAAACATTACCAAATCTTAAACATGCCGAAAATACAAATACTCTTTCTTTCTTCCTTCTCCTTCACACTTTGACTACACTCTCCCTCCTTCCCTCAGTACAACATGGCTCTAGCCATTTGTAAACCTGCAAATAAATAATAAACCTTCAATCTTATTACAGTCTCATTTACTTTTCCTGTCCCCACTTAGAAAATGCCATGCTATACTCATATTCTAACATGGTTATTGTTCATCATCTGTTACAAGGTTACAAGGAAAGTATTAAAACATAAAAACTTGGGTGAAACTCCATAAAAAAAAAGAAAAGAAAAAAATCATAATTTGGCATTGTAAGCTTTAGTATAATGAACATGTCATTGTTAATTTGGATTGAAAGGGTTTAGAACTGTACAGTCACCATGCACATACTGAGTTTTACATATTATATAATTGTAAGTAATCTGCAGTATCAGTAAATCGCTGCACAGCTCCAACCCAACTCAAAAATTTGGAAGGTGACCACTAATTAGGACTGTTCACTTTGCAAACTTCATTTCTTCTCTAACACTTTATCCCCTTGCTTTAATAACAGCGGCAATCCTGTCAGGTATGGATTACACCAGTCTCTTGAGACCTGAATTTCTGTTCTTTCTAGCTCACTCTTTCACAGACTAGGTGCATGTTTCATTCAGAGTTCCTTGTGCCTGTTTCAGCATTGGACTGAGGTCTGATGATATTGCTGGTCAATCAGTGTCCCAGTGTTCCACCATGTCTGTTGAACCAGCCACATACAGACACTAAAGTTGTCATCATGGAAAGTGGGAACGTTAACGCTTTGTTCTTCTCAAACATCTTAACCAATCCTTACTTGTCAAGTTTTGAGCTGTCATTAAGGCAAGGGGATGCCTAAACAAGCATTAGAGGAGAAATGATGCATGTGACTAGTTTTTTGTCTTGGAAGCTTGCAATTTAGTGTATATTTGTTTTTTTCATTTTTTTGTATTGCCTGACAATATTATTAGCAATGTAATAAGTTATTGCAAAAGAACAAATCTAACACAGTGTTGTAAGAGGATATCTATCAGCTTGTAGAAGTGTAGTATGTGTGCCCATTCTATGGCTTCGAACTATGAAGGAGTCCATTTCCTGATTTTCATTTCATCAGACTACAGCATCCAGAATCCTTGGCTATGCTATTTGATCACGCAGTGCTACGCCACTGCACATAAATCACAGTACAGATTCTGTTTTTCCCTCAACAGTGATGGAGAGGATGAGGAGATAAGAGATAAAAAGATTCTCCACTCAATCAGACATTAACAGCTGATGTTTGGATTGGTTGAGAGGGTGAGTCTATAGCTTGTGTTGCACCAATATTTTCACCCACTCTTCAGTCTTGTAACACCCATGTCTGTCCTGACACTTAGCAGTGTAATACCTTTGTTCTTTCAAAAAGCATGCTAGATTAATCCATATTTTCCTGTTTAGTACAGTCTACAGTGTTCATAATTATATAGTGCACACTACAAAAGACGTTCTTTCCTCAGAAATTCAGTGTCAAGTCTATATCTTCTTTCGGGTTGCAGTCCTCCGAGGTGAACCACTAGTTATATCATATTTACAGAATACAGCCTGAGCTTAACTTTCATAAGGTGCCAAAGTTAGTTCATAACAACAGGTGAGACAGGTGGTCAGGGGTTTTAGAGGATTACTGCAAATATCAAAAGGCAACATAACGCAGATATACATACAACAAACTCCCAACCATCATTTCCAGCATGCCGATACACGCGCAAACATGGGCAATACTGGGAGAGGAATGTTGGATGTATGGACTGGAATGAGGTACACTGTGACGTATACATGAGGCTTGTAGAGTGTGGATAAGAGGTCTGAAAGTGTGCAGATAAGAGCCTGGCTTGTGATGTGATAAAAGATAAAAAACAGTTTAGCCTCTTGTCTGAACATCTAAAAACAAACAAACCAACAAAAAAGAAAAAAAAGATGCCCTTTCTGTATTTAAAATCTCCTAAGATTTCATCTGGTTGAACTGGGCCTGGATAGACCACACGTCTAGTCACGAGTCCAGAGTCTCCTCTTCCTGCACTACATCAGAAGTCTCAATGAAGACAAGAATAAAACCTATGTATCTCTGTGAGCAGCCGTAGATACTCCTCATGTTTCATCATGAGTTGTACTTGTGTTGTAAGTGTTATTCCTCGCATTTTGAAGTTTCTAATCCTTTTTCATGATTGTGTAGTGTAGTGAAGATTTCCTCTTAGCGAAAGTCTTAGCAAACATTACTTTCTCGTTCCTTCTCATGGTGCAAAGATTCAGGTCCTCTTTCCTTTGTTGTATTCTTAGGTTCTTTTGCTTTTGATGGGGTGAAGTCTTCTGTTTGTGCCTTACGTGCGTTGACATTAGCCTCCTTCTTAAAACAAAACACTCTGTCGGCGGGACTTCCCCTGGGCTGAGGCACAAAGAGAGACAGAGAAGAGCAGAGCACGGGGAGAAAAGATAAATATCATCACATTTAAAAGAGAAAATTACTTCTTCTCTTTTGTCAACTCATTCATTTGAAATTCATTTTAGTTTTTCAATACTTTAATATTTCTCATAACTCATTAAAAAGCTTTCATTCTGCAACAAACAAAATGCACCCCATCCACTCTGAAACTCAACAAAACAAAAGTTAAAGCCAGAACAAAATAAATTATTGACTTAGTTAAGAAACCACAACAGCTCAAACACTGCTGCACACTAATTATATTATATGGAACGCTAACAGCTTATAACAGCCACCAATACACATGGAAACATGAAGATATTCTTGAATGGACTTCATGTACAGTACAGTGCAAAAGTCCTAGGCCATCTGAGAAAATGCTATATAAATCTATTTATCTGGGCAGTAAGCATTTATTTGCCCAAAACACTAGCGTAAACAATACATTGTGATTTTATGTGCATGTGTGTGCGTATGTGTTAGGTTAACCATTTCCAAACCTCTTCCTGCGAATGCGCAGTATTTACAATTAACATCCAACACCTAGTTCAGCTAATCAATCCTTTGAATTAAATAAGGTGTGCTGTTGAAGGATATCCATGCAATGACTGAAGATCACTGGAGAAGTCAGAAACCCAACCTGTGTTCTTCTAATTTTTTTTTACATTTTACTCTATTTATTTTTAGTTGTATTTATTTACATTTATTTATTTAATGTTAAATAGTGTTTTTACTGGCAAAACACACTTAATGCAAAGGTAAATAGTTTTAAACAAGTTTCTTGGCTGCTTAAGACTTATGACTTGCATTCCATTTCACAGAATCTTTACTAGGATATATTCCAGCTAGGATACAACAAAACAACAATGGTGCATTATTTGTAACTATATCTGTTACGCTAAATGTTCCAACATGGTTACATTACGAGTGCAGATTTGATTTATGGCGCATAATTGTTGGAGCTTTTAATGGAGCAGTCTTTTGTGCTGGAAATATCTACATTACATTTGAAAACTACCAGTTATATCTTCTTCATAAAATATATAAGACTTATTTTGAAGCACTTTCATTGATACAAATATTTTGCAAGAAATGAAAAGAAGGAAATTAGAAAAGGCTCTGCTGCCATCTTGTGGCTTACCCAGGCTGACAATTACTTCTTCTTCTTCCTCTTCATATACTTATTATTATTATTATTATTACTAAGTGCCATCAACTCCTTTCTGACTCCTGGCGACCATGTGGATAGTGTTCCAGCAACAATTACGCATAGCCTTTTTTAGTTTTGATCACGCTTATATATTCAGAGGGGTTTATGTTGCTGAAGAAGTTTCAGCATGTAAGAGTATTTATGCATTGTAATAAATTATTTTTGATCATAACAAAACTGAAGCATACAAGTCTGCAACTCTAAACTGTTTGCTCACATCATCTTACAATTAAGTAAAGTATTCCAAAAAAAAAAGACAATTTTAATATAAGCCAGGGGTGTCCAATCTTATCCACAGAGGGTCAGCATGGCTGCACGTTTTCACTCCAACAAAGCAGGAAGTCACCCGATGAAATGTTTGAAGATAAAGGCCAACTGATTAAACAAGTAGATTCAGGTGTGCTTCAGCTTGTTTGGAGCCTGCAGCCACACCAGCCCTTTGCAGATAAGATTGGACATCCCTGATATAGGCTAACACTAAGATGATGCCCATACTTATTATAAAAATAGGTAAAAGGAAATAACAAAAAAAAAATTATTCAAATTCAAATTTAGCAGCACTAGTCGGGCCTGGTTGAGTTGGGTCTCAAAGTCGATGGTAAGGGGTTGGTTCAGGCATTATTTTTCATGCTCATGCATACCCTTAATAAATGCTATGCCCAAACTATAAATAAAGGGTTTTGTTCCAAAATGCACGATAATTCTCATAATTACAGATAGAGAAGAAAGCTGAGCCTGTAACCTTGAGCTACCCTTACTTTTGAAAATAAAAAGGGATGTATGTGGGTGCACACCTGAAAGAGTATATTTACTGAGCTGAGGCTCTTTGATGTGAAAAAGAGAGAGGGACAGATTGAATAGCAATGTATAGAGGAGAGAAGACAAGAGGTACAATTAAGGGTGTGACAAAACTGAAGGCAAACATTAAAAAGACACTGACAAAGAGGACTGAGACAACTGGGACGAGAAAGACAGGGACAGAAGAAAGAGTGTTTATTTACCAGAGTGGTATAATGAGTCAGCCAGTAGAGGGGGAAGAGGGGGCAGGATGCAACGTGGGTTTTGCTCCTTCTCTCTGGAAATATTCCAAATGCGTGGGACCCATCTTATGGGGCATCGCTTTAAAGGGCACGTTGGGCAGAGTTTTAGGAAAGGAGAGATAGAAAGTGGAAAGGGTGGTGCAGAGAAGCATAAGAAACACGTTTTGAGAGAGAGTGACAGAAAGACAGGAAAACACAGAGAGAGACTCTACAGTGGATGACGAATGTACAAACAGCACGTATTTTAAGATGAAGCATGACATATTGAAAGCGTTTGTCTAGATATTTGGGCCAGCAGCTTAACCATGATGTAAGTATGATGTAGTCAAACATGACTCAGCATGAGATCAGACACAAAGCATGGCTGACACAGTAAAGAGAGAATGTGATTTTCCTTTTTAACTATTTACTTACAATGTCCTATTTTTCTCTCACTTTTATCCAACTCTCAGCGCAGTCTCTCACCTGTCACATCAGCATGATCCATGTGGTATGGCAAAGGCTGCATATATCTCCAGATGCAAGGAAATCAGTGCATCTTTCCAAGCTCTACCAGACAGTCAGCTCTGTCAAAAACATGAATGCACTTGAAGGAGAGTTCTGAGTTAGCCAAACTCACCTGACTCTGAGTATGCTATAGAACGTTTTCCTGGGTCCTTCTGAAGCTGGATCTCCTTCACAGAGAAGATGGAGGCAGCTGGAGAGGAATTCAGGACAGAGTCAGGAAAAAACAGCACAAAGACTTTAACTTCATGTGAACTTGAACTTCTTCATTAAAGGATGTGAACACTATGCAAAGATATTTCAAGGGCCCATGAAAAATCCTTTGCGTATATTGAAATAAAAGAGTTTCAAGCATTGTTACACTTTCAGAATGTGCTGTTTCCTTCCCAGTCCAAACAGTTCACATTGGGCATGTATATCCCGACTACTTTTGACATTCGAGTGTCCATAAGAGTTCACGAACAGATATCTGGTTAACTGTGGAAAAGGAAAGAAAAACGCCACCAAAAAAAGCATTTCGGCTGAAATACTGTACAGCTGTGGCGCACCTTTGTACAAAAATGCAGCATCATGCAGAGCATGATGGTATATTATTCAAAAATAGCCAAGGGAAGTAGTTTTTTGTGTAACATAACCAAGTGCCTCGAATGAGATAAAACTACAGCTAACCAGCGCAGCACTGGATACTAGTGGACACTTGTAATCTTTTACAGGTGTTTTCTCCTCTTCAGTGGGTGATGTGCCAACGTTCGCTTGTCTGAGAAGTATATTTCAGCTATTTGTGGACCTAACACCAGCCTAGAATATTTAGTGTTAAAAGCCACACATAGCCTGCTCAGTCACATCATCAACATGTTTTTTTACTCCACATTATTGGAGCCTTATTGAAAACTGAAGAGATAAAACGTCCTCAATTAATTGTTTATAAGAGACCAGGCAAATAGTACTTGTTGATAGAAATTAGAAAGAACAGCATGAATTGTCATAGTTACAAACTAAAATAAACTCCAACCCTCCCAACTGAGAAAACGCATGAGAAATGAAATTCCAGATGGTCTAAATTAAATGACTAAAATTAAGACCCCATTTACTACAACAGTTCATTAGTTCTTTTCTAATTATGTATTTTAATTTTCAGACACAATTATACAGCAACTGATCCATCTTTTCACAAAGTGTTTTTTATCAACATCCGAGGAAATAGCTGCACTAGAAATACCCTCTGCTTTGGAGAGCTATATCCTGCTCTTACTAGATAAAATTCCTCTGCATTGATTGTCATTGATTAAATCTCTTCTAAACTTTCTGCAGCACACAAAATTTTAGCTTTCTGCTTTTTAGTTATGACTATTTCCTAGGTCATCATGTCTTTGACTAGAATGTGACAAATATAGGGCATCTCACATTTTTGCAGCTGCAATCAGCTCACATTAATTAATATTCAGGGGAAGATGGGAAGCTTTTGAAAATACATGAATGACATCTGGGAAGAGTCTTTTTAAAAAAAGCATGGATACAGTCAGCTAATAGTGGCTGAATGGTTAACAGAAAAAAATATGGTGAAATCAGGCACCCTTGGCATATATCTCATTTGAATTCAAATCCAAGCCAAATTTTCTTTTAAAATGAACTCATGTTTAATTGAGTCATCATGCACTAAATCTGCATAATCCAATTAAATAAAAAATTTTAATTATTTAAAAATTATTTTTAAATTAATTAAATAAAAAGTCAACTACAAGCTGAATATTTTACGCATGTCTTTCATAAACCCATAAATAATAAAAAAAAATAATAATAGCCAAAATATTGTAGTGTAAGAGGCAGCTAATCAGACACTAGTTGTCAATAAGCAATAAGTCTTTTTTGGATTTAGGAATAAGAGTTATTGTACTATGTGATAAAGTAAAGAGTGCCATTATTAATTCTTTCACAAAAAAACTTCTAACCAGAAATGGGCCAAATCTTCAACAAAGGTCTAATAAAACTCGGATATAATCTCTTCCACCCCAGGGAATATTTTTCACACTATTAACAGAATCTATAACTTGTATGAGGGAGATAGGACACTCCAGAATCTATGCAGCTGAATCATCCAATGCATTTTTTACACCCCTAGCATGAAGTATGATTCAAATTGTAGTGTTTAATACTTACTGTCAGACAGTCGCTGCACTTGCTCTCCCAGACTCCTGAAGTAGGGGTGTCTGAGAGCGTCTTCTGCAGAGATACGCCGCCTCGCCTCAAACTACGCACACAGACACATATCCAGGGACACACAAAACAGGAGTGAATTCCTGTGCTGCTCTACTGGCATCCTTAAATCTGTGGTCATTATGGTATCTCCCTCAATTCTATATTACCATGGCTCAGGAAATGGTTTTCAATGTAATTTTTAATGTATAAAGTAAATCCTACTGACCTGCAATAGCTGATTAATTAAGTCATGACCATCACTGTCTATCCTGTAAATAAAGAAGAAAAAAGTCAGAAATGTAATAAGACACTGCATGCATATGCACCTATATACAAACGTCATTGTTGCTGCAACGAAACCTTGTAATTTCTGCTGTTTAAACCACTCTTCTCCTTTAAGAGCAAAGTTTCTCAATAAAAATGGTGTTCCGAATGAGCTCACATGCTCACTCAGAAAATACTGCAGTGCATCCAACGCTAAATGTAAGCCTTGTGCATCTTATATATGGTGACAGAAAATACTGCAGCACACAGAAAGCTCTGGTACTACAGTGTAATACATTTTATTATAGCCAGCGCAGACATGCATGTGCCGTAATTCCTCTGGTGGCAGATTTAAACGATTTATGTAACCAGATTTTATTTCAAGTAATCTCAGATCATTTCTGGTGATCCATCCGTCATATAATGTTAACACTACATAAAGGACAGCTGGTGGTATGAAATAGTATAAAAATGAAAATAAATGAAATTCGGAAAAAAAAAATGTTATAAACTAACCTGGGTGCGTGATTGACAAGAGGTTCGGCACGATATCGAGGGAAGTTATAGGTCTTAAACTCTTCACTGGTACTGACCCCTGGCCAGGACTCCTCAGTAGGAGTGCCTGGAGAACATGCATATAAACACACAGACAGATATCAAATAAAGGTGAATATAAAATCACTCTACAAAGTGCAAAATAATGATCATCAGATGACACTAATCTAATACCCAGTATCGCTATCATTTCCTGTCAACAAATCTGATTTGATTCTGTAACAAATCTATATTTAAATATCACAGAATTTTTAATGCAACATAAAGCAAAGTAGATCATCTGATAACAGTCTCAGACGTGCTGGCCACTGTTGTTAGAATTATTAATTTGAAGGAAAGCATGCTTCTTCAAGAAACACAGTGGGATCTAAAAGTACTGAAAATAGCTTTTTCCATTATTATGAAGTTTAAATGAATAAAAATTCCACCGTGGTCTCAGACCACTGTAGGTATAAGAAATATTGTTGAATTAAAAACGGTATATAAGGTACACAGTATTTTAAAATGTAATATTTTAAAAAAAGTTATAATATTTCAGTTATATTTCTTTGATGCTGTTGAGATATCCTCACGTGTTTACTGAGGAATCTAAAAATTTGTTTCCTGTGGGTGTGTTTTGGTTGTAGCATCGGTTTGAAAATTGTCTGCCCTTACACATTACACAAAAACAACAGTCTGCAGTTGGCATTTTTGCATGTTAGATATCTTCTGGCCACGGTAAGCTGTGAAATTTTGTATACACTCACAGTGTGACATTTGCTTTTTTGTGGATCAGTTTTAAAAGAATATAAAAAACTGCAGTTTTGTATGCCATGCTGTTAAGATATGTTTTTACCGCAGTAGCAGTTTGAGTATAATATTTTCAGATTGCAATTTTAAATGTAAAGTTTAGTAGTTTTAAAATAAAAGAAATCATACATATTTATCATGTTGACAAATATACTAATATTCAAGATTTCAGTATTGGTACTGGAAAAAAACAGAATGACCTAATCAGAATGTTTGAAAACATAATGGTTTGCTATTTTTCCGGGGTGGATAATTTGCATCCAGTCAGCTTGGGAGCAGCTCAATTTACAGCAAAATTTCAAGTGTGGCTGGTGCTTGTTTGTGATTATATGACAAAAATTAACCATCCAGATTTGTTATTGAGGAAGATAAAGTTTTTAAAAAGCTTTCCGTCTTTCCAATATCTTCAAGTAAGTAAATCTCAGGGTTTGTATATCACCTGCATTGGTACTTGGATTATCCACACAGATAACCCAAGTTCTTTGCCTTTGTGAGGTAAGTGATATTGTGCTAAATTTAATGAACAAAAAATTAACTACACATACACAGGCAGGCAGCTCTTACCCAGAATGCGAAATATTAGATGAAGTTCATCCTCCACTGTAGATCCAGGAAAAAGAGGCCGTCCTGTGATCATCTCATAGAATATACAACCGACCCCCCTACATGCAAAGATAAATAACTGAATGTGAGATTTTAGCGATTATTCACATAAAATGAACCTACAAAAATAAAACAACTGTAAAAATAATAATAAAATGCTATTTTATGCTTTAATATTACTATTTAAAATATAACTAAGTAGATATAAAAAGCTACAACAAGTTAACCAGCTGGCCTGTGCTTGGTTTTTCAGGATGTGTACTACATTACTACATCATTACATTGCTACATTAGATTCCTGGGTAGTTCATCTCAAAGCAAACAGAGCAAGCAAAGATAGTTTTAAAAGACTCTGCCGCTAAACATTATATAAATCTGAAAGAAGGGAAAGGAACTACATGGCCTCCTCACATTTATAGACATATGAATGTGACGAGCATTAGCAGAGGTCAGACAGTATCCTCACTAATTAGAGTGTGACTCAGGCCCCTTTAAATACATAAATACAGTCGAATCCTATGCTCCACTTGTGGCTCCTAAATACAGTCGTCTATAAACACAGTTATCTGTAATCACACCTTTTGGTTTATGACTGTAACACTATAATTTCTACCCTCGCAGAAACCAGAGACTAAATAAAATGTCCTCTTCCACATTTAACCAGCAAGAAGTATCCACAGTGAGACAACAGACAATCTTTCTAGACACGATAGTGCTTTTTTATGCTACAGAATTAAGTTTAAAAAATGTTTTCAAGTACAAGATCGATCCATTGAATGGCTATTAAAAAACATAGTTTTTGCTCTAAATTTGGTCACTCCATGACAAAAATAAAGAGACCAAGAGACTCCTTAAAAACCAAGGAAACTTCCATTTCAAAAAGACAGTTATTCTAAGTACACTTCCAACACAAAAGCACAACAAAAGTGCATCATTCATTGGTGAATAATGTATCCATTTGTGTTAAAGCCACAAATAATTCATGTTTTCTTTTTAACGTAATCCATTTTGCTCCTGGGGGCACAAAATATACATGTACAAAGTATGTACTGTGAATAACTCCAATACCCAATTAAATGACCAATGTATTTTGCCAAATTTCTCCTCTTTTGCAGTCCTACACTTCGGTAGCACTTTCATAACATAAGCATTACCTTCACCAATCACAAGGCTAATGTGGAAGAGAACTGTGTTCCCCTACAGCCTCTCTCTGTTCAAGTCAGAAAGAGCAAACAACCAAGCAAAAGCCAACCTTGCAAGCACAACTGAGCTATCAAGCCAGCTCATCTGTCTGTCTGCCTGTCGCCTGTTTATTTGATTGTCTGTTCCTTTATCTGTCAGTTTGTTTGTTTTTTTATTCAACTAATCATGCCAGCATTCCTTGGATGCACATCCAGCAGTAAAGTGAATAAGAACTTTACCTTCTATAACATGTTGCCATATAAAAGCTGTATAATGTTTGTGGACCATGGAGATAGCAGGTATAGTTTCTGCATGCATATTGTCGCTGTCGGAATAAAACCTTGTATATTCAAAATGGTAACCTTACAGGAGAAAGAAAAAATGTTCTTAGCTTTTGGAAGTTAATGCATTTTGTATAATGTAAAGGGCAACTTGTGTTTTCAACTCAAAAAATTTGTGCTTTCATTGCAAAAAGCAAAAAAAAAACAACAAAAATGGAGATAGGAGGTATTGTCCCAACAGCGACGATATGTAAAGCCCATTTCACACATTTCTCCCTGTTCGCACCGATATGTTTAGTTCTGCTTCAGTGGCATAACAGGCTGGGATTGTTAGACTGAGGGATGTCAATGACTCGTGCTTATCAGAATATTAGTTCCAAGTCGTGTTTTATTTATTTCTATTTTGATTTTTCCTTCAATGGATATTTGGCTGGATATTTAATATAACACTCAATTTTAGTATCTTACAAACAGCAAACATTTTTAATATTTTGTAAATGTATTCCCTGAGACTTGAATGATTTTGGAAATAAATAAATATGTATGTGACAACTATAACATGCTATCTGTGTATGTGTTTGTGTATGTGTCTCACCACATGTCAATAGAAGTAGTGTACTCTGTTGATCCTAGAAGCACATCAGGTGGTCTGTACCAGAGTGTGACCACCTCATTAGAGTAAGTCTTAGTGGGAACAGACTTCGCTCGAGCCAGACCTACAACACCAGAATTCATGATGTATGTATATTTTTCCATATTGATGTAGAGATATGACAGATCCTAAGAAAATGGAAAGTCTTACATTGAAGGGTTGGAACCATGTTGGAGTTCATGACTACCTTGACCTCATTAACTCTTCCTATTTTTAAGTAGCTGTCTTTTTATGGTGTGTATTCATCTGGCACTATTAGAACAGTGTATACTCACCAAAGTCAGCTAGTTTCAGCTCTCCCTTGTCGTTAATGAGGAGGTTCTGTGGTTTCAAGTCTCTATGTAGAACTTTACGGCGATGGCAATATGCTAGTCCTCGCAACAGCTGGAACAGGAAGATCTAGAGCAGAAATCAGTAATAATCAAGTATTAAATGAGCAGATCGGAAAAGCAATGGCTGCTTGGATTTAAAACAATCAGATTCCTAATAATAATAATTATAATAATAATAAAACTATACAAACTTGATTTAATTCCTTGATATTCAGTTTAACACTTCTGCAGGCTACAATACACCTTTATTGCTTGGTGCAATGGGTCAGATCCAAGCAATACTGGTGAAAGGCAGTCATTTTGGTCACAGAAGCCAAAAGTGTGCTGTTTTATTAGTGTTTGGGAATTAAAAAAAATTCAGATTAAAGATGGATTTCCACAGGTTTAGATGAAACACATAGTAGCAGTTTGTGAAGGGGGACCGCAGCCAAATGAAAAATTTAACCTTTGCATCATCTGTTATTCTGTTATAAACATGCCTGTGATGTTCCAGTTTTAAAGTAAGAAAAACCCTTCTGATGATGTACTGTATCTTGAAGGGGGAAGGAACTTTTGTGAAAGGGTAGTTTGTGTATGTGTGTATATATATATATATATATATATATATATATATATATATATATATATATATATATATATATACACACATTCTAAGTAGGACCTCTTTGCCCCCACTAATAAAAGATGAGACATGACTCAAATTGACCAAAAAGACATATTTTTCAGATGAATAAAATTTTACTTGTTAGAACGTTTAACTTGGATATTTCAGTTACAGACCAGAAACATCTGCACAGACTCACTTTTACATTGTGGACACTCATGATGTTCCCACAGTCATCCATGTACTGCTTTAAATCCCTCTCCTAAATATTCATCAGAAAAACAAGCATGTTAGGAAAGTACCTACTCATCAACACAGACAAAAACAGATAATATACTTATTCGTATATACTGACCAAGTATTCAAAGACTAGTGTGAGGCACTTGTCTGTGTGGATGATGTCATGAAGAGTGACAATGTTGGCATGTTTTAAATCCTTCAGGAGGGACACTAAAAAAGAGAAAGCAGTATAAAGAAAGGGATACAGAGAGAGACAAATAAGGATATTTAGAAAACTTGGCATTATTGTATCAATCCTTACACCTGCTTATATTTATTAACACATTCAATTTCTGTATGAGATTTAATGTTGAGGTACTGCACATGTCGCTTTACCTTCTCGAATAGCAGTACAGGGTGCACCCTCTTCATGCTCCAGCCTAATCTCCTTCAGGGCCACCAGGCTATCAGTCAGTTTACTGCGCCCCTTAAACACAGTCGCATATGTGCCCTAGACAGATAATGGAAAATCCGTAAACTGTGATTTGTGAAGTTGTTAACCAATTTTCACCCCACTTCCACCCACTTGTCAAACAAACACACAGGGAGGAGAATCAGCTAAAAGAAGCCTGCGTTGGCCAGCACTGCACTGAGTAATGGTAGTAGAGGGCCACTCTACATACGGCTGGGTATCAAAATTCAATACCTTTAAAGTATCAACTGAATTACTTAAATACTACCAAGTATGAAAAAATCCAGTGTCATTCTATACCTCAATCTTATGACCTGTTCACCATTAGGCTTGTTCCAAAATCTTGACTGCTGATCAAGGTGTTTGTATTAATATTTACATTTTTTTTTAACAATACCCAATAATCATCAAATATAATCAGTTACTCAGAGAGAGTAAGAACAGTTATGGTCTCCTGAACTCCCGGATAGCTGTGGCTTCGCCAAGGGTTGTACTCGTGATCTCCTGATGACAAGGCCAATGCTTAGACAGTTGTGCAGCTTAGGAGCCCCCATTTTGAGATCTATTAATTGTATTCTACTTCTGATAACCTTTTATAAACAAACCTCTTCGTGGACTCCCATTTGGTCTATGTCTATGTTGGATATTTGGATCATTGTTTCTGGTAATATTTACTTTGTCAAGGCTTATGATCACTGCTTTGAACTTTACCATCACCCAATGAGAACATCACCAGAACCTATATACTTAAAATATTAAGCACCAAACAAAGATTTTGTTTCTCTGGTACTGGGGATCCTTCAAAATGTGACTATGACATGGTTACTCATGTACCTGGTTTGTTTGTGGTTGGCCAAACATCAAATTTCCACAATTTTCTTACCTCAAATGTAGTGCATCCAAAGTTAGCTTCTTTACCTAAGTGTTCTTCTTTAGTTTTGCACTGGAGTTGCAATGCTAATGCAGGTGACAAGTAAGCTTGTACCCCACCAATCAGCATCATGCTTGGCTGATTAGTCTGTCAGCTGCAACTTTTCATTATTATCCCCCTGCTGGTGTAGCCTAGTGCAACCAAGTTTTGGATGGAGGTGTAAACTGTCTTTGAACAGTTGTAAGTCTGTTTTTAGTAGCTTGCAAGGTGGATTGTGTTACTACAGGTAACTAGACTTACAAGCTCTTAAGCCTGTGGGGTTTGTATGTTATGGGTTATCTCAATGAGAAAGGAGTTTTTCTATTACTTACTGGCTAAAGCACACAAAATCTATGAGAAAGTTGGAGAGAAAGTATAAGTAAAAAGGGGTGATTCTGAGTACATCTAACACTGTGATAAATATGTAGTCATAACCTTTGAAAAAGAACTATACAGCAAGCCGCCTCTCAGTTACTTTGTCTATTTGGTTAGTTTCTTACCTCTCCCAGTTTGTCCAGTTTGATGTATGTCTCCAGTTTCCCAAAGCCAATTTCAGACTGTGTGGGAGAGAGAAAAACTGTAAGGGGTTCATCATCAATATATTGGTGTATATAAATGTATATAATGTACATACAATACTAAATAGTAAGAAACCAGAAGAACGAATTATGAGTTTGCAGTAATAACAGCAAGAAGAGATCAAGCTTCATAAAGGCACTTTGGATTACCTAAATTAAGAAGACTAAGGACTAAATTTAACATAAAACTACAATATAAGGAATATCCTTTTACTGTCCTTTCACTAAAACACTTACATATAACCCTTCCCAAGACCACAAAAAGCTGAACAATGCAAACTGAACTTTGCTGAATGCTCTGAACAAAAGACCCCACCAACAAAAGTTTACTGGACTGGAAATGTTAATAAAATATATTTTATGGACTAACTTTTTATGTCAACAAATTTATTTTTATGACTACAAATAGGATTTTTCATTAAAAAATCAAAAAGTTAGCGAGGCTTTCTTTACAGAAAAACCTTCAGTCTGAAGCAAAGAACTGCTGCAGTTTTCAAAGGAAAAAGGCAAAACATCTTGAAATGGGCAGGGATTAGCTGATTAGTTGTCATTTGTATAGCAAGCATGCTAGCTAGTTAGCACAACATTAACTTCAATAAAACCTCAGGTAGATCAGCTCACAAATTAGATAGTGTGCTTGCTAGTATACTTGCAAACAAAACTCCATGTCAGCCATAGTTTCAAGTTGTTGTGCCTCTTTCCTTTAAACACTGCATTTATTGCGTGTCCTGCTTCATCTTGGGCTAAACAATTAATCATTTTAATTACTAGTTCACAATGCGTCCAGCCCAGCACACTACGTTCCATGTTCAAGTCCAAAATTATGGATGTCCTCATCTTCTTGGCAAAAAAAATGCCTGGAGTTTAATGTATATAAAATAAACATTTTTTTAAACAAGACCTGAATTTAAAACATACTGAACCTCAAAAAACATTTTGTCAAAAATAAAGACATGAAAAAGGTCAGGAAAAAAATGAGAGCTAAAACAAAAGAAGCAAGTTCTAATCTGAAAACAATTTGAAAAAGTCTTGTATCTTAACATGTTTGTTCTAAATCCAATGCCCACAAACAGCTTGAGGGAAGTACTGAAGTGAGTGCACAGCATCTGAATGCTGCTATCTGGTTTTCCATGCCTACCCGTGTCTCAAACAATTTTCTCTCTCTTTCTTCCATGCCTGTTGGGTACAGAAATGCTTTGGTCACTGAAGTGACAGAAACTAGGCTAATACAAACCCAGGAGCACAATGCGCGTGTATACTGTACACGCACTAGGCTTTTTTTTTTCCAGAGTTTCCACTAGAGGCTAAATGTGCTCCCTCCATTCCCTCTATTCCATGTGTCCTATATCATCAGCATCTCCACTGACCAACTTAACAAATGAAGCATGTGATCTACTTCATTCTCCCTTTCTCCATCTCTCTGCATCTCCCTCTCTCTCACACAAACACAAACAGCCTACTGTGAGTGTTTTGAGACAAAGCCAATGAAGATGACAAATGAACAATTTCAACCTTCAGCAGTTTTTTAAATTCAAGAATTAATTTACCACCAAATTTAAGGCCTGATTAAAGCTGTTTTCATTTAACAAACTTTGACTGTAGATGTACTGAATTTGTTCTGTTTGGATTCAATCTTAATATCAATTTTACTCATTCTTTCAGAGACAACTTCTGATCTTGAAATATTCCTAGTGTTATTCATTTATCAAAACTACACACAGTTGCACATTTTAATAAACAATTACTGTTTATTTGTTGAACTTCATTCATTGGGAAAAATACAACAAAAAGTTTGGCCTTTTCAAAAGTTATAGCACATTTTGTATTTTATGTTTTTCCAGTATGTTAAACTCAGCTAATAAATACAAATGGTGCACTGACATTTTCAGAAAAACACCGTATTTAAGTTTGTTCCCTGTAGAGGATGTGTTAACTTGTCATCGCTTAGAAAATCAACAAAATGTAATTTGAACAGGGGTATTCAAACTTTTTCTAATCTATTATTATTTTACTATTATCAATATGTACATAATATACATATTGTTTTGCTCTCAGAAGTGTCCTCTGAGTCGACTACTATTTTACCATTATCAATATGTACATAATATACATATTAAACCTAAGAAGACATGTGCATGTGCACTGGTCATTTTGGATATAAATAAAATGGCTATATTTGCATTGCAAACCTTGCGACCTCTGGTTCCTATCAGCACCACTGTGAGTTTCTCTACAGTACTGCATTGCCTATCACACCATTCAGAACGACTTTGTGTATATCTAAACAATTTATTATGCAGACATTAAAAAAAATCAGTGGAATTCCCCAGTAAGTGCATAGTTGAGTTTCCCAAAGTCATGCAACCCTTCCTTGACTCAAAAGTAATGCGACGCATGTAAAGCAATCAGATAGCACAGTGGATGACACCCCTACTCTGCCCATTCAAGATTCAATTTCCTGTTCAGGGGGAAATATAAGCAAGACCCCTAGCGCTGCATTTGTCTACCATATTAAACTGCTATGGATAGGAGTGTCTGCTAAAAGAGACAGATAGGGAGGGTACCTACCTTTCTAAATACCTTTTTTGCTGTATTTTACTGTATTTTATTTACTTATTTTAAATCTACGTAGCAATGATTTGTTCACTCCCAAGCTACATTTCCAAAGCCAAATGTAAAATGTCACCCAAGTTAAAGGACAAAATTACATCGTCCTTGTCGGTAGTGATCTGCGAACTGTCATCAGAGGATATATAGAAAAAAAGCTTTGTCTATGCCTACTGTGGCAGTGCACTTTAGCTTTGGATGCTGGAATGTTTTTCTGACTTTATTATGTACAACTAAGTTGTCCAATTTTAGTTGATGTCATCTTCATTGTTGTAAATGTTTCTCGTCAAAAGCAAACGCATGCTTTATAGGGAAGTGTTGTTTTGTAGGGATTATATTAAGTATTGTTAATTATTGTTACTATATGCTATTGTTTGGTCTTGACTGAAAAAAAATCACTGTGTTTATAGAGGTGAGGTGTCCAGCTCCACGGTTAGTATGCTACCATCATGGTGCTGAATAAGTTGTAGTGTAACCTGCTGTGATATTATAAAAAAAAAAAAAATCACTGACTACCTAAAAAAAGCTAGCTAGGTAGTGCCCCACTAATTTCAGCCCAGGGGTCAATAACTTGATGATTCAGGAATTCTGGCGATGTCTATGATGTACCCATTTTGTGCATCACGTCAACAAAAGTAATCACAGTAACGATAAATTATTTCATGATTCCTGATAAAAGTTCTCGATTCAGTGTTAACTGACAGATTTTGTGTCAATGATTCTGTGAATGAATTCCACAACACTGTCTGTGCTTGCTTCACTGAGTAAATGATAGTGGCTGTGCATTTGTACAAAACAGATAGAGAGATAAAAATTAAAAAGAGAAAGAGAGCGAGAGAGTAACACAAATGCAGAGAGAAAGAAAGAGGACCAAATGTGTTACCAGAGAAGCACGCCGTAACCTCCGACTCAAGGGTTTGTCGAAGGGAGGACTGTTCATAGCAAACTTCTCCAGGTAGCCTTCTGGCAAACGAATATCCACTGGCAGTGATAGGCGTTTATTAATGTCCTTCAGAAGAAAGAAGAATGTGAGAGAGACTAAGAACGAGGCAAGACATAACAATACAGCCAGCCAAAAGCAATGAAACAGTGTACCCATGATTACAAATCAAATCCACCAACTGTAGCTTATCATGGCTGTATTTGGACATTTTTCCATTTTACAATGCAATCTTGAAATAAAGCATAAACATATTTAGACTCTCTAGACTGTTATTTTAGGCAACAACATTTTTTTCACTAGAAACCTGCTATTCAGTTTATAAATATGGTTTATAAATATGTTCAGAATGTTATTCAGGTCATAAACAATGAGAACTGTATACTGTCCAAATAATGTATACTGTATATATGTATAATGTCCAAAGGTTTGCAGACACCAGCTCATCCAACATTTCCTCTGAGATCAAGGGTATTAACAGATATTTTTAACCCTCCTTGCTGCAATGACTCTACTCTTCTGAGAAGATTTTACACTATATGTTGTAACATCAGCCAAAAAGAGTTACACTGCTCAATACTGACAGGCTATACACCCCTCTAGCAGACACTTGTCTTTGAGCATGTTGACCTCAGGCACATGTGCCGCTGCTCAAGAGTGTCCCATTCTATTGGCAATGCCTTTCTATGGAGACCATCTAAGCTGTGTGTGCAACTGAAAGCCTGTGTCAGCAAATGGTCCGCATTAAAGTATATCAGTAATTCACTAATTAGAAATTCAAAAAAAGAAATTCACTAATTAGATGGGATGTCTGATACTTTTGGACATACTTCTGTATCACTGATTACTACCAATCACTTACAGAAAGGATCAAACTTCCCATTAATGGAAATATTGTTGTCTATGTGTTTATTGTTTATGTACGTGTGAGTTTATACTACATGCATCAGGCCTGAGCATATTAGATGTTGCTTCAGGGATGGATCTGCATTACCTCATTGGAGATACGTCGAGGATGGTTGTTACGCATGCGGACTCGGACAGGACTCTGAACCTCATCGGACGAAGTTCCTGAAGCCTGATCACTCTCTCCATCTGATCCCATCTTCACATTCTCATGTACTATGCCTAAACACACAAAACACATGTATTAGTGTACTTGTGACACCTTACATCTTAATATAACTAAAACTTCCTAAGTTCTAGTCCTTATTTAGCTCTAACCAGTGACCTGTGGTCAATTGCAAAAAACCTCTAAAGTATCCTAAGTTAAAGGCTTAAGGGATAAATCAAAGTTGTATATTTCAATTGCGCAACTGTTGAAGCCTGAAGTGCTGAATCTTAAACTCAATCTAAAATTCAATTTACAATTATGAATTTTCTCAATTTTCAACTTGGATTTTACACAGCTCACTTAAGATAAAGGAAAATTTTATGGCAAAATTCACTGTTCTATGCAAGTGATCACTGGTGCCTAAACTTCAGGATAAATTAAAGCTAAAGCGAAACTATAACCCTAAGCATAATCAGTCACCTTAACAAACTATCTGAGGAAAAGCTGATTAACAGCAGCATTAGGGTTAAGATTAGGAATAGAACCAGAATTACAGTTAGGTGGAAAAGTTAAGTTGAATTAATAGATATTTATTTGAAAGTCTGTTAAAGAGAACGTGATGATTTACAAATTATCCAAACATAATGTTCACATAATATATATCTTTAACCTAATCATAACGCCCAAAACGACAAAAAACATGTTTAGGGCAACTGTATACTTGCTTTTAATTTTGCATATGTGTGTGCACACTTCAGCTACGTGAGCAGCACTATTCACATACTCATACGTGTAGCTATTGTCTATTTAGATGATTAAAAGTCCTATCCCCCTAAGGGGCAGTCAAGGGCCGATAAATCCCCAATCGTCACTGCAACTTTTGACAGCTGCATGTGGTTTTGTACGGCCAGATCAACAGCAAACACAGCAACAGTCAATGAGCTGACTTTATTATCTATTTTGAGAAGATGAAGGAAACAGTAACAGCGATGACAATGAAGACAAGCTCTATCAGCCTCTCTTCAAGTGTTTCTGCCACTGTCAGCATTATTTATGGTTTGTTCAGTGTGCTACTGACGTCACTGATCATATTGAGGTATACTGTCCCTACTGTTTAGGCTGTCATTGGCATGTGCATACGCATAGTTAAAAGCAAGTATACTGTGGCCTTAGTGTTGGTTTACTTTCTACACGCTCACTCCTGCTTCCACTTTTTTTTGTGCTTTTGTGATTTGTACAGGAAAGGGGGCATATCAATTCTGGTCATCTAAGAATATGTAAGAATTTATCATCATTCATCTTGTTTGATCACTAAAAGGTTTTAATAATTAATTTATTAATAATTTCTTTTAGCAAAAAAGCATGTTTTAATAGTTTTAATGCACATATCAAATTAACAAATGTTACATCAAATCCACATACATATTAAATTACAGTTCTCAGTACCACAAAATTATTTAAATCAGTGTTAGACGATCAGCTCACTGACATGTATGAGTGCATATTACGAATAATAATTTGTTTACTTTTTTTTTTAATCACACTACTTCAGCTACTATTTTTATTTTATACATTTATCTGGTTTATACCCTGGTCGCCATTGCAACACTCAATCATGGGGACAAGCCCCATACAATAAACAAATAAGTACGTAAATAAATAAATATAACGCATGAGTGGGCTTTGCAGCAATTATTTATGCTACAATGTGCTCACAGATAACAGAAAGACCTTTGATCTTTCGTTCTTCAGTTTTTCCTTCATTAATTTAATAGACCAAAACTGAAACTGCAGTGGCTGCAAATAGAACTTATAAACAGAACCTTAAATATTAAACTGAAACAGAAGTTTGACATGTAATGCAGATAATGTATTTGTTTTAGCTTTAAAAGTGATAGAAACATGATAACTAGTCATTGGAATTGAATAAATTGTTTACCAAGTAAAGTTTGTTGGGCTAGTTCTGAACCATATAAATCTTCATCATCACTTACAGTTTCTATGCCTTCATAGTGATAAGCTTTCAGAATGAAAGTGAACATCATTTTCATCATCCATCTGAAATTGTGTGGACAGTTTTTATAAAGAGTAAAGTAAAGAGACCCCTTGCAATAGCTAAGCACTTAAGTAATTTTAGGTTTTAACAACTGGTTAAAATGTACAGTAAAACCAAATGTATTCCAAAGCTCAGGCAAATATCAACCACTATCCAATTTGGAAAACTCTAAACGAGTTAAACTAGGTATCCTTTTGTGTATACATACATAGCTACTATTTGTTTTAGCAGTGATTTCAGTGAGTTTATTGAAATTTGAATGGCAAAATAACCATATTCTGTTCTGAATGTACTGAAGCATGAAGTCATTATTTAACAAAATGAGCTTAATATATTGAAAGTTGTTTTGACTTGTCATTTTGTTTCAACATAATCACAGATGAATACTTGTTTAATCTGTCACTTTAAAATTACCCCTTGCCAGTCTACTGTACACTGAGCATAGAACTACCTGAACAAAAGAAGTAACCAGGGAGAGACAGTGAAAGTCACAGACACAAGCAAAAGAGAAATAAAGAGAGAAAGAAAATAATTGGGATAGAGAGTCACCGAGAGAACCAGTCCGGTGAAGGGAGAGATAAGGTCGGTCCAGGCCGTCTCTACGGATCGCGCCGCGGCCCAAACCCCCTGCATACTGTCTCAAGAAAGAAGGGGCACTGTGGGATGCAGGAGGGGGCACGGGGCAAACCATGGGCTCTGAGAGAGAGAGGAGAGAGAGAGAGAGAGAGAGAGAGAGAGAGAGAGAGAGAAATGAATGAAAAACGTAAAAGACAAGCAGCTGTACAAGAGTTGGGTAGAGAGGTACAGAAAGGTCAAATAAGGAGACATGCCAAGGAAAGAAAGAGACAGACATAGACAAAATATATACATACAAAGGAAAAGTTTAAGGGGAAATATTTACTTAACCCTTAAAAGTTGCAGTTATCGCTGTTGATTACAAAAGCAGGGTGTAATTTTATCTATTATTATTTCTCACTTATAGGTCAAGTAAAGAAATTCTGTTCGGATTCTAAAAATTTCAGCCAATATTATATTTGTGTTAATAAATAGAGGATGAGATTTTATTATAATTGGAATTTGAAAAATCCAGAAAATGAAAAATCTGATATTCAGTAGAAAAAAGAAAAAACAGGTCCGTTTACCTTATAGGTAGAGTTTGTAGTTCTACAATTAAAGACTGAATATCATCTGTTTTTCTGCGTACTTTGTTAGCCCCCTTCCACCCTGTTCTTCAATGGTCAGGACCCCCACAGGACCACCACAGAGCAGGTATTATTTGGGCAGTGGATCATTCTCAGCACATTAGTGACACTGACATAGTCGTGGTGCGTTAGTGTGTGACAATAAATCATCTGCTGCAGCACAGTTTGTATCCTCTAGACCTTCATCAGTGATCACAGGACACTGCCCAAAGGATGTTGCTGGATGCATATTTTTGGTTGGTGGACTATTCTCAGCCCAGCAGTGACACTAAGATGTTTAAAAACTCCAACAACACTGCTGTGTCTGATCCACTCGTGCCAGCACAACACACACCAACACACACTAACATCAGTGTCACTGCAGTGCTGTAAATGATCCAACACCCAAATAATACCTGCTCTGTGCTGGTCCAGTGGGGTCCTGACCATTGAAGAACAGGGTAAAAGGGGGAAAAACATGCTGAGAAACAGATGGACTACAGTCTGTACTTGTACAATTGACTTGTAATACAAATCAAATGGAAATACAATTAATTACGTAGGTAAGTTGATTTCTAAGGGTTAACAGAGAGATAGAGAGTATGGCAGGCAAGGTTCAAGATGTAAGGTTCAAGATGTAAGGTTCAAGATGTAAGGTTCAAGATGTAAGGTTCAAGATGTAAGGTTCAAGATGTAGCATCAAAGCCTACATGTACAATTTGTGGTTGAAACTGTTTAACAACCTCAGAGCTAATTAAATCCAATGAATGTTTTGCCTCATGCTAAAATTAGGTTTAGTCATAGTACAAAAATAACTTTTACCACAAATTTACGCAAATCGTTTCTAAGTATGCATTGAAAAAGTGGTGTTGTCGCAGCTTCATTTTCAGTGTAACCTAATTCAAACCAGCCTTAAAGGGAATTTCCACTGATCGTTCAAAATATCTGCATAATTCAATTAGCAAAGTGATTAAACCTGAAATGAAATGAAATGGTGCATTGTAGACAAACATTTTGAATTATCAACTTTTTTACAGTGGTAGAGTAACAGGAACCAGGAAGTCTGCAATATCCACAATTTATAATCCAAAACCACCAGTGAACCTACATGTATATGTTTACATGTAATGTTGATAATGGTACAATAATGGTGAATCTGAAAACATGTTTTCTTTGGGTAAACTGATGCTATCAAGCAATACTATCAGCAATAGTTCATATAGGTAAATCATCTATGCACAGCACTTATGAAAGGAGAAATACACCTTACTGAACATGACTGGCTAAATTTTAAATTATTGAAGGCATTTGTATTTTAACTTATGTGAATAAATAAAAAATAAATAAATTTTAAGCCAAAATGTCTCAGGCATCAGGCTGCATATTTGTAACCATTTCATGTAATAACTTTCTGTGAGGCTTTTAAAGGTATTAAATTCCTCAAATGTCTGGTTACTACAACCACCGCTGTGAACAATTCTGACTGTTTCTGTAAAATGGAGCATTTCATATAAAACCACTCTGAATTGTTTAGTTTACATCTTAACCATTTAATAATGTGGACATATAGAAAAGTCAGTGGAATTCTCCTTTAAATTAGTCTTTACACATAGTTTTCCTCAGGTTGCACAATATCATTGAAATAACATGATATCTAAAAATGTGTTGATTATATCACATTGAGAGTTTAACATCACAAGTATTGGACAAAATCAGTGTTGAGTGACATAGGGTGTTGCATAGACTTTCAATGAAATATATAATTTTTTAGCTTCCCTTTAGTAATTAGCCTACAAATCTACAGTCAGTGCTATTAATCAGTGGATTAGCACTGGAATTAGAATTTTGTCCTGTGGGCACAATGCCTAGACATTCACACAATTTCAATTCCACAGATCATGCACCACAGAATCATTTGAGCAAGTCTTATGTGTAGATATTTCACCTTCACAGGATGGACTTTTTTACAATAAATATTTTCAGTATTCAATATTGTCAGTATTTCTAAGTTTCATTTTGTGGTTTAAAGGTCCTATTAACCTGCATTTCTAAACACCATTTACAAGGAATCTGTGACCCAGTTGCAAAGAAAGCATAAGTAGCTGATACCACAAAGACCAACAAGTCTCTGTCTAAAAAGTTTTAATGGGCTATATATCCTTTTCTCTTTGTAAAGAGACTTCTGGGACTTTTGATAGTCAAAATTGATGCTTTCAAGCAATACTATCAACAATAATTTATATAGACAGACCATCCATATGCTTCCAGCTGTTGTGGAAGAAAAAATACATCTTAAGGAACATGATTGGCTAAAGAATTGTAGTGAAGTAAACCAGGTACTGAATGTAGAAGGGTTTTAGTCATGTACAATGGTGCTACAAAATAGTGTTGTGAACCCTTTTTCTGCCTACATTTGACCTTGTGAATCAAACTGAATCAGGGGCTGAGTGTATGTGTCAATGCTCATCAGGCTGCAGAAAAGGTTGCAAAACAATTTCTTAAGAGTTTGGACTTCACTGTCAGGCAGATGTGCAAAAGGGAAAAATGTACAAATGGAGAAAAATCTTGGTTGTCCAACAAAGATCACTGCAAGTGTAAGGGGAATAATACAGTTTGCTTTTACTGTCATGGTACAGCTTACTATAAATGACGGTGCTATGAATTCTGTATTGTATCAACAGGGAACCTCAGGGATTCCACCTGTGAACTAAAGCTCAGAAGAAGGTGGGTCTTGCTGATAGATAACACCCCTAGACACACCACTCAGTCCACCAAAGAATGGTTAAAGCCACAAAATAAAAGTAATCCAGTAAAAATGCTGTGATAGAACCTGAAAAATGGAGTTCATGCAAGAAGCCAACGAACATCATTGAGTTAAAACAGCTCTATTAGAAAGAATGAACCAAAATTTCTCCAAGCCAATGTGCAAGACTCCTCAACAGTTACAGGAGACATTTGGTTGATGTCACTGCTGTTCAAGGAGGGCAAACTAGTTACTAAAATCACAGGTTCAAATCCACTTTCCAACAAAAAGACATTTAATGCTAGATACCTTTGTTCAATAAATGAATGAAAAACTATGTCGTTGTGTGTGTTATTTGTTTATTGGGTTCACTTTGTTGTGATTAAGGTGAACCTCTGATCATATTTAGGTCAAATTAATGCAGAATTTCACAAAATTCTAGCACCACTATATGAGCAACAGTGAGTCACACTTATTTTGGGCTGCATTCATTTTATAAGCTATCTGTATCAGGTAGTTCTCTGCGCTACTTTTTTTTTTGGTAACAGGCAGCAAATAACCAATCAGGGTTGCATAATTAATCATACTCAAATCATGATGACAATTTTTGGCTTCATCAATTACTTAAACAAAATCAGCTGTAATACTGTTAAACCAAGATTTCAATTTTTATTGACCCTGGAACATTAACTATATGTTGAAAATCTTATTGTAAGCATCTTTTCTACTTGGTTGCATACTGTAGTGACACTTTTTAAAATTTTATGTCTAAATTTGTTTATATTTAGCATTTAAAAGATATACACAGTGTGATAAGGGATCTTATTTTTGATTCAAGGATTTATACATTTGAAGGTATATAGACTTGTACAATGTGAAAGCTGAACAACTGTGATAAATAAATGAGATTTCAATATTAAGCAAGATAATTGAGACCATCATTGTCATGTTAGTTATTCCCTAATAACGACCCATTTACTTTAATTTGTTTGTTTTCTCACCATTCTCCCGTGAAGCTGGGGCCTCATCTGGTGCTGCATGTTCTGTGAGCTCTGATAGGTTCTCGTCCACTGGTCGAGCACTGCGCAGGCTCATAGACAAACGTCTCTTAATAATCTTCATCCGGTCCATCAGAGCTCACTTCATTCGAGGGCCTGCAAGGACAATCATAACTCAATATCTACAACACCTCAACTTAACACCTCCCCTGGGCAATTTTAATAAAACTTTTATGCAGCAATTAGAACCAGTGACCGCTGATCATAATACTGGACCGGAGGGCTCACGCACTGTAGCACCACATTTGAGAGCATTCCCAGCTACAGCAATGAAACGTGAAATGAGCTGTTTAGCTAGCTACTGGTCACATTTAAATGTGTAATGTTGATACCATGGACTAGGGCTTTATCAAGTAAGCTAACATAAACACACTACATTTCACAGCAGGATTGCACTTTCTATCAAATACATTGTGAGCACAACATGCCAAGTTCAAATTATTACTAAAGGACTAAAGGACCAGTGTTGGCTTTATCTAGTGACATAAGCAGGTGCTTAGGGCCCTACGGCTGCCAGGCGGTCCCCTAACAAATTCTAGTTATTACTGCACAATTATGTTGTGATACTCAAGCGAGGGGAAAAAACAATGTGCATATCTTAAGCTAAAAAACAAAGAGGAAAAAGGGAAGATTAGAAAAAGCTTAAAGATAATGCTATGTTTAGTTTTTTGGGGTGTTAATGTTATGCCATTTGTTTTGGCTTGTGGTTGGCCAACAAGAAGTAGTGGAGAAGGTTATCTGGAAATTAAACTGTACCTTATTCGAAAGCATCCAGTCTAAGTAAGTTAGACCAGCTGTGGCAGTCATTTTTATTAGATAACCTCTAATTGTACTTAGGGCCCCCAAAACAGCTGGCCCTGCTGTAAACAGCAACATAGAAAGTAAAAATATTTTACTTCAGTGTCTGTTTCAAGCAGTTATATGCTTAAAATATTTATGTTGTGAGCTTCAAATGCCTTCATATTTTTTCTTGCTTACAAAAGTGCGGATAAACACACTAACATAAGAGAATGGTGACAACATTTACCTTTAAATGCTTACCCATTAATGACTAGTCCAGACAACTAATAAAATAAAATAAGACACATGAAATATATTTTGATAAACTGTTTTATTTTAGGAGTAAGTTAATTTGAAGAGATTTCTTATGTAGTGGTGCTGGCACTTAATGTTTCCACGTTTGACCAGTGCCACAGAAGAGATACAGATAAGATGTTCATGTATATCGCTGAAATATGACAATTTTTACATATGTTAAGTAGCTTTACTACAGATTTTTTTCAAATGCTGGTTTAGTCCACTGAAATACTTTGCTGAGTCCAGTTGATAACCCCTGTGCTATAGCATCACTGTTAGCATGGCACTATCACAATACTGCAAATCCCATAAGTGCACTAATAAGAAATTAGCATTATTGCTGTGGTGTAAATTTGATAAATACAGTCTTTTTAGAAAACTCATTAAAATATTTCTGCATCAAACAGTGCAATGTAATGACATGCTCACAATTCTACCATATTTGGCTATGATATATTAATCAGTGTAGCCTTTTATACCAGCTGCACATGGAAAGCAAAGCAAGTCTTTTTTTTAATTATTTTTTATTTTGTGATACCGATCTTGCCAAATAACTAAAATATTGTGATATAAATTTGAACTTATTTTGGCCACACTTAATACACATTGAAAATATTATTAATTAAAAAAAATAATTCAGACTGTCTAACAGAATATGCTCCACAATGTCTAACAGGATTACTGTTCTTAATAAAAAGCTTTCAGCTTCAATTTTCTCTACTTTTTATTTTTATCATTTCACATTTTGGAACAATTATTTTTTTATTTTATATTTTTAATGTTTTTTTTTCCTGGACTTCAATACCATGCTGTACCCAGTTTGTTATTATTATTTTGATTGTATTGTTTTTATAAGCTTTTTTTGGAATTACTTATTTATAGAGGTTTTATTACATTTTCATTTTTACCTTCCTTATTCAATGCTTTTGTTGTCTCTATTTTCTATTTCTTCTTATGATGGCTTTCATTTGCCTTTCTCCTTGTAAAGCACTTCTGAACTGCACTTTAAATGTGTGAAAGGTGCTATACAAATAAAGTTTATCACTATTGTTGTTGTTATTGTCATTATATTATCCAATATTACCTTTGCAATGCAGCTTACATAAACCAGATAACAAATGTATTACTATGTTTTACTTAGTACTTCAAATATCTGGGAAACAAGAAGTTATTAAATAATGGATATATTGCAGTTATTTGTTAAAAGTACTTCTCATCAGAGTATCGGCCTTTGATCATTGATTTTCAAATAAAAAAGTCATTCTCTTTATTAATTATTAATTACAGTCATTTTATTATAACATCATTCACAATGCTTAGTCATGTTGGAACAGCTTCATTCATCATTCTGGACTGATCTAAATTTTCTTTTTAACAGCTTCCTCAAAATTATTTGAAACCACTGACTTCACAATATCATATTTCCATAGTATCATATTCAAATAATTTTACATATATCTGCAACAACATGAAAACATTAATTCCAAAACTTTTGAGTGATGTCTATGGTTTTCTTGTACAAAGTATGTGGACATGAGTGTCCTGATTGCAGAATATCCTTAAATTAATTTCACTAGTTATCGTAATTAATAATACCCCTTTAATGTTCAATTCAACATGCTCTACACCCTTTCATTTCTACAGAACCCTGATGATGACATCCTGTATAAATGTAATCATCAGGGTTATTAACGCGTGGGAACGAGATCTTAATGTGTCGCCACGACTTAGTAAGGTGTGGGAATGAGATGATTAAGTCCTGGCCATGACTTAGTAAGGCATGGGAACGAGATCACGGCTTACTAAGTCATGGTCATGCATTAGGATCTCGTTCCCACGCTTTATTAAGTCGTGGCTACGCATTATTTTTATTTATACAGGATGTCACCAGCAGGGCTCCGTACATTTCCAGTAGATAGTGGCCAAAAAACTTGGCTTTATTAAAGTTCTTTAGATAACTTTCATGCAGTGCTTAACAAAATAAAATGTGTTTCAGAAAAAAATACTTAGCACAAGATCAAGCTGATAGGACACTCTATGTGAAGAATGCCTGGAAAAGAGCTCCAGCACTGTGTACTGTAAAGCACAGAGGTGGAAAAAGTCTAGGGCTGTTTTTTTCTTACAGAGCCGTCTGTGAACGCAAACCTGCAAAAGTCTACAAAGGAAATGTTCAAACGGTAATGATCTGCCTATTAAAAGCAGACTTTGCCACAAAGAAATGACTTGTAAGTCTTGGAACGGTTTGCTTAAAATAAATGTCACTTGACATTTTGTTTTCTAACACAATAAACTTAATCCATTTTAAGTTTGGCACAAATGTCAAACAGTATTTGGGGCAGCTGTACTACACTAGTTATTGCTTTTCCAGTCGCAGCTGGGGTGAAGGTAATTCTTATCCACCGTAAGGTATCCAGCTAACTAACTGTGCCACATCTTTTCTCGGCACTACTTTTACACTGCTGCACCATGGCTGATGTGCGCCGGCCAGTCTAACTCTGGGCCACCCAAGCTTCGCATTCCAACCGAGATATGGTTTAGGAGGGACAAAACAGGATAATGTATTGCGTTTTGTACGGAAGTGACTTTCCCCTTAACATTTAACCTTGGCTTTCCCCAATAAAACCTAGACTTTGCTTAACAAACTAGTGCAGGCTCCTAGCCACTTAACCCTAGCTAGCTAAGCTAGGTAGTTACCCTCATTCTGACATGATATACAAGCTAACAACCTTAACCTAGCCAGTTTCGGAGGACTCCTTTACCGAAGCTAGCTGAGAAAGCAACAAAACTATTTGCATTTATTCAGACGAATAATTTCTCCTGATTAGCTGGCGACCGAGTCTTAGTTATGGAAGCTATCCATTTTGGTCTCATTGAGCCAACTAACGTTAGCATCTTTGTTGTTGTTAGCTAACTAGCTGGCTAAAGTTGGCTAGCAGCGGCAGAGTAGTTTAGAAGCCCATTACTAGCCAGCAGGGTTGGCGACGTACTGCGATTCAGTCCTGCTGAGTTTGTTTTGTGTACCAGAGCCTGGATACCGACCGAGAAAACAGGAACAAAACACCATTGTGTCCTTCAGCATATGCTGTCTGGCATAATTTAACTTCCAAACAGGAGACGGAATACACAGTATAACTGACATATACCGGTATAAGCAAAGCTGACAATAAGAGTGAACAATTGGGCTGAATGGAGTCCAAAAGGTCCTGGAAAAAGACGGAAAGGAAAGTCGAATACATATCGTAATTAAAGATAGCTACCGAGAGCTAACGTATTACAGTCATACCTGTCCTGGGATCCGGATATGGGCCGACACTCCAGCTGCAGTGTCCCAGCGTCCTGAGACAGAACTGAACTCACTGCGTCAAACTTCGCCTTTTGAACGCGAAGAAAAACGAAGAATTAAACCACAAAAGCAGCGTCTAAATCAGATGAACGCGGTCCACTGAGCTGGGCCAGGACGGTGTATTTCTTAGCCGATGTCGTCACTCAGACCCCCTCGTAGACTTCGTGTTCACCAGCAGTTAGGAGCACATCCTCGTCCAGGACCGAGCGTGATGCCCGAATAACTTACCGAATAGAGCGAAATCAACCATCCCGGAAAACACCGCAGCGGTGTAAGATGTGTGGCTTCTAAAAGGGGGGCACCGAAATCACAATGTTTGTTTTTGCCATGGTGGTGTAAAGACACAATTATGATTTATATTCAGTATGTGCTATTTTTTTATTTGTATGGGATTTCTCCCTGTTCCTGGGTCATTTTAAATCATCTTGAAATACTAGCACTGTATGCTCACTGAAACTGTTTCCAGTGAGCATGTTAAGCACAAATGAATATAAATAAAATGTAAACGATGGTAACTGGCTTAGATGTAAAAACTCACTAATATTTTCTACTGCACTCCAGCTATTTTCTGCTCGTTTGTGTTGAGGGTTTTAGCAAGTGAAGTGCATACTTCAGTGCTGATTCAAATTTGGAGATGTACTTCTCCAGCGCTATATCATGACCCCATCCCCCACTGCCTTTGGGTCATTGTCTTATTAGAGCACTCAATGTGTGTGCAGGCATTTGCATTCAGTGCTTTTATCTATAGTTGCGTTAGCAATAGAGATGAAAGAGTCAGTCACAAAGGATGCCCCATGTGGCTAACTATGACACCACGAATTTCCTTTTCAATCCGGTGCCAAGTGAAACTAAGGCTAATATGGCTATACAAACACCGATACAGACTAAATACTACTTCTTGTTCTTTGTGAGTTCTACAGTGAAAATGTGGACATTCGAATGCTTTTGCAATAAACAAGCTGCCAGATAAACAGACTAATTATAAAGCATTCACTGTGTCTCATGTGTTTGCCTCTGTATGTATGAGATCATACACGTTCATTTGTTCATTTGCATAAATTATGTTATGTCACTCAGTCTGTTTGTACTGTACTCTGCTGCTGTTCTGCATTACTTATAGCAAGATTTTCCAAAGGAAGTCTGCTGTAACAGTTGTATTGTGCTTTATAGACTGGAATCCAGAATTACCAGCACTTGTTAAATATTACTCTGTGGTTTTATCAAGTGATGTTGCACAATAACTCCATGTAGAAACTTTCAAAATGCTTGGGTTATAGGTTGCAGTCTAAATGGTACTAGCAACTGGGAAACTCCTGGGGCTTTTCTTCCTTCTGTTACAACAGCAGTTTTGTTCTGGCACACTTTACAAATCTAACAGTGCTTTTGAGACAGAATGACAGATGCAACCAGTCTTTGTATGGCAAGCTTGTACACCATCTCTTGCTAATTAACCTCGGTTTCAGAGGGGATTAAGCATTTACCAAATATCCAAGTAGTACATTATTGGTGATTTACACGTCTCTTTGGATTTAATGAAAAAGCATCAATAATTCCTCAATTCTCTGGAAGTAACAGATGAGCTGAATCAAGTGTGTTGTAGTGTAAAGCATGGGAACACAGATATGACGGAAGCTTGTCAGATAGTGTGCAAATATGACATTTTTGCACAGCACATACATGGAAAATTTCATAAGTTAATGATGAATGAAGAGCACTTTTATAGTGTCTTGACCAGTTTAATCAATAGGAATTATGTAAATGTGTCCCAAAGTCTGACATGGTATAACTTTAAAAATTATCAATTAAGTTTGTGTTTTAATAAAAAATATTTAGATTTTGTGCGTGCAACTGTTAAAAGCTGTTTTCTTGTCATGTATGGGCTAGCATTTGAGTTATGCCCAAAATTAGCAGTGATTCTCTACACACACATATACATATATACATATATACATTATATATATATATATATATATATATATATATATATATATATATATATATATATATATCTATATCTACATACATATATATACATATATACACACACACACATATATATATATATATATATAGATAGATCTCAATGTCATTTCCAGATCCCACAGAGTCTCTCCCCTAATGTGTAGCTCCAACCAATCGTGGAGCTTGAAAGCAAGTGCCACCTCCAGGCAGATGGAGCTGCTGCTTGTATAATGCCGTAGGGCAGCTCTGCATATACTTTGAGGAGAGCACAGACTGCCAAGTTCTGTGCACATTCGGCCTGTAGATACTAAATCTCTCCCACCCAGACAGCAGAACCAAATGTACTCTCTCACTCCTGGTCACGGATGGCTGGGATATTGTCGAGATTTAAATCCGGGGGGCGGACAGATGCACCACTTGGGAATCCAGAATATCGAGAGCCGATAAATCTCTACATAGATAATGCAAAATCCATTTTTATTCATTTGTGCAAACTGAGAAGTAATTGCAAACATATGTTGGAAAGAAGTGGTAAGGGATTAAGTGTGAAACAACAAAAATGTGCTTAGGAAATGTGTTCTGTGTAGAGCGTGTGCGTGCTGTAATCTTCTGTCTTGCTGGTGAAGCGAGGAAGAGAAGGACTTCCACCTGAATGTGGCCTCCCCACACTAACAAAGTAGAAAGGCATGTGAGAAATTCGCCCATTAGACCAACACTGCAAAGAGAAACAAACATAAAAGTCAGGGTGATTTACAGTTTGAACTCGAATCAGAATAATCTAATGTAAACAGATTTAGAATACAAACTGAACTAAACCGAACAACTTTCAGTTTGTGTTTTTCTCTTTATACAGGGTGTCCCAAAAAAATTGACATCATTTGAGATGTGAATATCTGAGTAACTACATGTCCTAGGCAAATGCAATTAAATAGGCGTCATGTTGAACAGTCCAGATCCCTTTGCCCTGGACAGACAGCCTTCCTCTTTGAATTTTTTGTGCCATGTCCAAATCTGCTTTCCAGTTGGTGCATTATTTATTGAATTTTCTCTAAAATCCACGCTGCACACTCTTGTTTGACTGTGTTTGAGCATATTCTAACACAAAAAATGCCTTTTCATTTCTAGTGAACGCCTTTCTTCAACCTGAAAAAAACATTAAAAATTAAACTTGGTTGGTTTTTACACATTTTGTTAAAATCAGATCATTTGATGGAGAATTGGTATGTTATTAGACTACGAAATGTAATTTTTTTTGGGACACCCTGTACTTAATAACCTTAATAACTGGTCATGCCAGCTTTAGTGCCAACAACCGCTTAAAAAAATAAATAAATAAATAAATAAAAAAAAACAACACAACAAAACTGAAACCTCAGATATTCCCTGTATCTACAACTGCATCAGATATTTCCTGTGTCTTTCTCAGCGCTGTGGAATTTCCCTCTACATCATGCAGAACTCAGTTGTAGGTGAGAACAGACACTGCTGTCTAACATTATATCAGGTATAAAATTATTTTGCAGCAATAATGAGTTTGTAGTCTTTATTTACATTACGCTATGGTAAACTATCTGGACACCCTTCCTAATTATTATTATTATTATTATATTCAGCTGTTTCAGCCACACCTATTGCTAACAGGTATATAAAATCAAGCACATAGCCTTGCAATCTCCATAGACTAACACTGGCAGCAGAATAGGTCATACTGAAGAGCTCAGTGACTTTAAACATGACACTGTCACTGCCACAGTCAAATGTCTGCCCTGTTAGATCTACCCCGTCAACTGTAAGTGCTACTATTGTGAAATGGAAATGTAATGTTTTCAATGAACTGGCTTAGTGATTAGCTTACAATTTGAATTGTAGACATGGTTTCTGTAGGCCATTATGAAGCCGTGTTCAGCAGTCTGAACAATCTCCATAAGGGGAAGCTATTAGCACTTAAGTCGCTTACAGCATGCAAAAGTGTGTTCAGATACGCTGTTTATCAGTTATGGGCTGCGTCCAGAAACTTTTGCTACTGCTCCTGTCCTCCCCCTCCCTTCCAAATCTTTGTTTGGTCATAAGGTAGCTCACCAGAACAGACTACAAGGCTCAATATCAGCTCAAAAAGTGATTAATTTAACATATTTTCAAAGACATTTAATTTTATTTAGTAATGTAGTGAGACAACAGCATGGCTTGTTAAAAAAACAAAAACAATGGTTAAAAATTAATGAACAGAAAACAATGTGAAACTGTGAAAACAGATATGTCTCATCTGAATCTGTGTTTAGCTGTCTGGACTAATCATTAATGGTTAAGCATTTAAAGGTAACTGTTGTTGTCACTTATTTTAGTTTGTTCATCCGGACTTTTGTAAGCACAAAATCTGATGTAACTGGACCTTCTCAAGTTTTAGTTCAGTATACTAGGCCTATATGAATCAGCTAAACCAGCCTTATCTCTATTTTCCACTTTTCAGCTAGTATCAGCCCCTCAGCTACTCTGACCAAATGAGTGAGTGACGACACACTCAGCAATGAAAAAGAAAGCCAAACAAAAGAACTTGTTTGTGTGAATGCTGGTTATCTTATATCTCTTAAGATCTCTTGCTTCAGTCTTTCAAGGAAATGGACAGACTAGAAAGACTGAAGCTGCCTGGGGAGAGTTCTTAGGCTAAGTGTTCAGCCTTTAGCTTCATGGGTGTGACATGATTTTTATAGCCTAGTAGGCTGTCATGTTCATTGTTTGGGAATTTTGATGTTGATCTTCATTAGTTGTTGTTGTTGTTAGTTCATTTTAGATGCTCCTTATTAATATAAATTCTTTTTTTATTATTTATTTTTTCATCATTATAATTGTAATGTCTATTACAAATTCACTGTCCATTTCCCCCTTCAGTCCTGGGCTCTGTGCTTATTTCTATCCTTTGATGATGTTTCCATATTACAGAGGTGGCAAAAAAAAAATAAATAAATAAAAATGTAAAAAAACAAAAACAAAAAAACCCTGTAATTGTCATTTTCCCTGGTTTCATCGTCAAATGTTTTGTTTAAAACAGATATCAATGAGCCTCTACCTCTAAAAATTTGTTTTTAGCACACTTGCATTTTTTAATGTAATTCAGGGTTCATACAAGTTTTAAATAGTGGAATTCCATTTTCTCCATGACATAATATGAAAACTGGCATAACGTGACACTGACCTACCATAAAACATGTTGCTTTTATGGTTTTAGTGATATTTTTACTAATATATTTGATAAGCATTTTACTTATGGTCTGCAAGCCTTGACAGTTAACTCTAGAATTCTTCTACTTTATTAATGTTCAATGTTAATATCTGTCATCTGATAGCATGATACTGTGATATATTTGAAAATATTATGAATTTGAATTTTATCAGTACCGCCCAGCAATAATTTAACAAAGACTGCTGTTCTGTTAGGTAAAAAGATGGACATCAATTAAATATAATAAAATATCATTTAATATTTACATATTATTAACTAGGAAATTAGAATGCAGTTTAGACTAAATGACTAGAATGGAAATTAAATTGAGATGTCACCCATGTATGGATATCTGCAACAGGTATCTGCAGATATCTATACCATTTGTAAAGAACCACATTGTGCATCCACGCAAATCATGATTAGGCTGATATTGTTCCCCATTTTATTACATTTAGCTCGTGTCAGAATCTTTTGATATTTACAATATTTAGGAGAGGGATGTAGAGAGAGGCAGTTCACTTTAACAAAAAAAAAAAAATCTATATTCTATGACTTTTCCAGGATTTTCACGACCATATGGACCCTGGTCATTGTGCAAAATGTTTATGTCAGCACAGTGGTCATGCACAAACTGAGCTTACACACAGCATTCATTAAACACACCACAAAAAAGCACTCACCACTGTGAGCAATGCTCCATGCTGGAAGTGAGGATGGAACTGAATCAGTCTAGGCTCTGCTCCGGCCTCCCCTCTCACAAAACCGCTGTAATAGAGTGCAAAATAATTGTCAGCACAACCAAAATAAAAATACATAACTGAACACCACTACAGAGAATTAGAGACTATGCAAACTGGGGCTGCCACAATGTTGCTTCAGCGGTTCCTGAGTGGTAATAATAATATGGACCTCTCACTCAGTCAACTTACACTTTTAGCCAGTGTTACACTGGAAATGTGTGAGAGGTTTTGTGTAATAACAACATTACACACATTTTGTCACAGTCTTTGGGATTCTTTGCTTACATGTGCAGAAACACAACTCATGACAACATTAGCTATATCCTGGACAATTACTAGGTGCACTGCAACATGTCATTTGAGGTTCTAATCCTGTTTCCACCTATTTGTTTCATTTGACTTGTATCTAGATTGTACCCTGATAAGATTCCAGTATATGATCCACTCACCATGGAAGCAATTCAAAGATGGGGCTGGAACGGGTTTTAAACACAGCAATGATAGCAGAATGACTGGAGGATTCTGCATTACCTTGTGAGGATGACAGAAAATGGGAAATTAAAGGAAAATCTTTATTTCCTGCTTGTACACAGGGCTCCTCTAATTTTTGATGAAAGACCTAGAGACTGTCAATACATGTCAACATGTATTAGGTGATCCACTAACCTTTCACACAAGGTGAGTAATACACAAACTGCAGGACTTGCTGAGGTAATTAGCCAAAAACTGGAATTTGTACATTTATCAAGTTTTTGTCTATGCACAAAAAAATTAATAAATAAGGCAACTCACTCCAGTATTTTTAACGCACTCTGAAAAACTGCACTTAAACATACAAATGTAAAAACACTGACTTTACTGTTAAATTGAAATTTGAGGGTACTTGCAGTGGACTGTCCATGACTCACATCAACAGCACAAAAAAGAACAGCAGAAAAAGTTCCTCTCATCCTCACCTTTTTTAACTGGAAAATACTGTGAAAACTACTTTTAGACATTGCACAGGCCTAGCATTCTTACAATAATACAAAACTCGCTCATCTGTGAAATTAGAGGGCACCTGCAATGGACTGCTCATGACCCACATCAACAGCATAGTATATACAGTGTTACAATACAGTATTGTAAGTGTTGTGTTACACACCTTTAAACTATAAAGCACAAAAGGAGTATTTTTGGCTGCCTGTTGTTGGCAGCGATCGAAATTCTAGCACTATCTGTACAGAATTAAAGGAAGCTGACCAAGATCTGAGGGTCTTCTGTACCTTTCAGGAGTACAGCCAGTCTCTCTCCAGTGGGATCCCAAGCAAGTGATTGAACCTCTCCTCCAACGCTGATCAGCACAGGATAACAAACAAGTCCGTAAATACACAAATAAAAATTTTGACTACACGTTACAACTAGTATATACAAGTACACTCAAATACACAGCTTACGTGATTTCACCATCAGTACCACTGAAAGTTGTCTCTGAGAGGTCGGCCACAACCGCAGCAGATTTAGGTCCTCCTGAAACAAGTTATATAATCACTCTGAGCCAACATTTGAAAGAAACCACCACCCATTTACACTTACTTGAAAATCATATTTAAATGTTCCTGTTGATGAGCAAAAAGGCCATGAAAACGTTTTTTACCTGCTTGGTCTCGTATTTAAAACACAACAGGGGTATCCTTCCGTGTTTTAAGAAGTTTTACAATTTAATTTGATTGTTTATCAAGTTTATGTTTATGTGCCTATGCAAAAATTACATGTATTCAGGCATCTCACTCTGGTATTTTTAACACACACTGAAGAACTGCCCATTAGCATCACTTACACATACCAAAGTAAAAGAATGTTTAACCATTCTTAAGTGGTTATTTATGACATCTGATTTCAAACTGTTTTACCAAAATGGAAATGGTCAGATAACACAAAATTAAATTACAGACCATAGTTTAAAAAATAATCTCTAGTATACTGTACTGTACCCACATGGAAAAGATGTCTGTGCTTTTTCTCCTTTCATACATGACAAAGCATCAAGAGTTTGCAGATACTGGTTACACCTTAGGATCATCAAGTCTGCAAACAATGATAAGATATCACCTCCATGCCAAGAAGCTTGCCAGAACCACGTTTCAACTTTCTTCAAAGGTAAGGACTTGGAACTTGTGAAAGTTCAAGGGACTTTTGAGTGGAATCAGATTATATCTTGATATCCTTTCTACAGGGGTAGGTTTGGCATAAAACTGATGATCTAAAACGACGGTCTTAAATATTGTCATCAATGAATGAAGTTATTCGTTATTTGGCTTGATGCCATTTGCACGTCTCATGGATATCACGTGACTGACATATGAAAACACAAATAGCGGTGACAGCAGCACGAGGCTGTGCATGGCCTAACAAATCCAAAACTATGAAAATACTTCACTTTAATGTCATCTAAAAAAATTAATTCCTGTGTGATAAGTAAAACTAGGCTCAGCAGGCACCACAACCACCATGAGTATGCAAGAGAATATATTCACTGTGCTTACAGCAGAAACTTGGCACGGTGAGACACTAATACCTTATTAATATCACAGTCAAAAAGTAAAAAACACAAGGTGAGTTAACCACAAACTGCAGGACTTGCTGAGGTAATTAGCCTAAAACTTGAGTTTGTGCATTTATCAAGTTTGTGTGTATGTGACTAAAAATTTAATAAAATAATAACTCACTCCCACAGACTAGCTTGGATATTTTAGTTTTTTTTAGCTTTAGGTTTAGGTTTTAGCTTTCCACTCACATTAAAACAGAGCTTTAGGTCACAGGGATTTTTTTTTTTTAAATCTCTACTTTCAGTTACTGAATGTGGACTGTTAAAACGTGTAGATGTGAAAAAAACAACAACATTGCATGCAGTATAATGGTCATTTTACGTGTGATGAATAGCTTCAGGTCTCCGTATCTGACACAGCTAACGACTGGACTGCTAGTACATGCAATATTTCATTACATGATGTTATCGACCATGCAGAAGCTTTTTAAACCATTTTGCTTTATCATCAGAAAACCAGTCTGGGACTTGGACGTGTTGTTCCTTTACGTTTCTGCACCATTCAAAAACGGAGTTTTCAGGAGCAGGAAATCTGTAGCTGTGCTCTGGATACAAGGACAAGGGTGACACCTGGTTGCCAAAAATGTCACTACACCGAGCCACAGATTTCACAGCAATATCTCACAGAGAGTAGAGTCATATGCAAAGGTTTAGGTGCCCTGGTGAAATTGCATTTGTTGATTTCCTAAGTGACTTCTGCATATTTTAATGTACAATTACTGTTTATTTGCTGAATACCATATTAAACGAAAAAACAAACAAACATAAAAACTATGGCACTAAATGTGCCATATGTTCATCTCTGTTTCGTGCAGAGAAAGTGTTAACTCATTGTACCTTAGAAAATCAAGAAAACATGTCATTTGACTGGGGGAGATCAAACTTTTGCATACAACTGCACATGTAATAAAGAAGCACATGTTGCATCTGATTCCTCAAAAAGCTGTGACACATTTCAAGTAGAACATGGTGAACTTCATCTTTCTGTTAAAATGAATGATGGTCAACTTTGGAAATTTTGTGTGGCAGTTAAATGAAAAAAACAAAAAAGTTCAATATTTATCTGAAGAAGTTGAAAATGATCAAAATTTGTTTAGCAGATTGTGAAGGTGTAGTATAGAGCAGAGTGGGTTCAGTCAATTACAATAAACTAGTCAATTATAACATATAAAGTACCTGTCATGTCTGAAAAAGTAAGTGCATAGATCACCATTTCTCCCTGAACACTGAATAACAATCGACTTCCATCAGGACTCCAGCATCCAGACTGGGGGGAAAAAAGAGGAAGAGATACAGATAAATATTCATATTTGTGTATGTATGTATGGCTTGTAAGAAAATTATGAATATGTGGTGATCAGCAGTTTCTTTAACAGTCCACTATCATTAGATGTTTCCCAATAGTCCTAACGTAAACACGAGTGGTGTCAGTTCTTTGTGAAGTTGTACAGATTTTATTTCATTAATTTCTAAGAGGAAATCCTCTTAGAAGGAAAATCAGGAACCACCCAAATATCTGTGCTTAATGTTTGAATGATCTCATCATTACCATTATATCATGATTACCACACTGCTCTAAATACATAATGGTAAGGAAGAGATTAAGCTAACATCAATTTTATTGTTAAAACAATAACGACTGCAGTGAAAACGTAGTGGCTCAACCAAGATACAGTTGTATGCAAAAAAAAAAAAAATTGGCATTTTTCTGCAAATTTTAGTGCACAATTTATTTGCTTACTTTAACAGATTGGAGACAAACTATAAACTGGGACATAACATTTGCACAGGACATATTTTTTACCAATGTGTTAAATTCAGCAAATAAACAATAATTATGCATTAAATGTGTGAAAACATGTTCTCTTTAGAGCATGTGTACTTAATTTTTACTGATTCATTGGTTTTGCACTGAAGATACCAGGGAAATGTAGCTCTGCAAATTGCACTCTTAAATCATAACACATTTGCCTCAATCAGCATTCATTTGTTAAGAATTATCTATGAAAACTGAAAGCAATATGCCACATGAATGACAGCAGTAGCAGCAAAAATTACATATATGGCAAACCAAGACGATGCATGCCGAAGTCAATGGAGCGAAAAGTGACGCAGCTCCTGTCTGCTTAAGTCTTGCATCATCTAAGTCGTCCCACCCTCGGCCTTCCAGGGCAACAGCAGCAGACTGTGCAGAAAACCTGGCAGTCGGCTGAGCAAATCCAAAATAAAACTCTTATCTTAAAATCAGCTCATCAGAAAATGCATGCCTGAGCTCAAAATAGCTCAAAAAGATCCTAATAATTACAAAAATTGGCCAAAGGTTTGCTGTAATTATGAAGGGGGGGTGGTCATTGCTAAAGCTTTTTTGTCAGAATATTCTACTGGTGCACATGGGCCTTGTGTCTCTGTTGACTGCATAAAGGGGGAATATGTTCCCCCCAACTCTTGCCAAAAACATGTGATTGCGTTTCCTAAAATATTCTTATATAGCAGCTCTCGCTTCATGAATCCTCTCTGGTAGTAGCCTGATTTTTGCCAGTACTTTTATCCTTCATGTTTACAGATAACAGTACATCATACAGTGCCAGAAACCACATAAGTATGTCTATTTAAGATTGCTTAAAAACTCAATATAATTTAAAGCTACTGTGCAGTGATTTACACACATAGTTTGCACAATGTTATTAGAGGATTCCTCTGCTTGTTAGCTCCACCATCCTTGCAGCTCCTCTGTAAAACTAAAGAAGCAAACTTTGGACACCAAACTTCTCTTGACTGATTACCTTCATTTGGAGTAAGGAGAAAATTGTGTAAATTTACTTCTTCAGTGAACAACTGATTTAACAACTATGTCAGTAAGGAAAAAAAACATCACATCCCTTAATCTTGACTTTACTACTGGTAATCCATTCCAGCAGACCACATGCTGCTTTAATATCTGCTAATGAACTGACACAGCACCACTCTATACTATACGGATCTACTATAATCTGTTAATCTAGAAGCTCACAAAATCTCACACAAGTTACACTATGTGAAATACTAAGAGCTGCTCTTATCGTAGGTCAGAAACCATAATGTTCACAATAATGTACAATGTAGGCAATTACAACCTCACCTGACATCTCCCTTTCAGACAAGGCCACCTTTCACATGTCCACATTCTGGTTTCCCAAACCCTGCATGCATACACAGACATACACAGAGACACACACGCACACACAGACAGACACACACACACACACACACACACAGAGAAACAGACTATGAATCATCAAAAGAAATGAGTAACTGCTCTACATCTGTAGTTAAAGACAACAATTTACCACTTTATAAACAAGAGAGATAAAGCAGATTTTCTCTCCCCTTAAGAAGTGGGGGTGGGGGGACAAACAAGGATTAATGTTGTCTGGGGGAGGGGGATTACTCTGAAAGGGAACAACCAGTTTAACAATGACATGAGCAGATCCTACCTAACTGATTCTGGTACAAAACGCTATAAAAAGAAGTTAGAAATCAAATATGTGAAAATGTAAATATATATTTATTATGATGCAGAGTATTGAGCAAATGTGATCTGAGTGCAATCAGATCTGATAGAATAAATAAATTCAATTAAGCAAAAATCATTTTCTTTTTCCTATGCTGGGGTGCTGCTGTCTGTAATATTATACATAGTTACTGACCTTAATTAAACATTAATTAAATAAACAAATAAACATATCAATAAATCTAAATCCTGTAGGCTTTCAGCACTTGCTTTTTTCCCCACAAACACTGTCCACAAGGGGCCTGTGTGGCTACAGCTTTTCATTCCAACCAAGCAGGGGAACACCTTCTATAACAAAGAAATTGTTGGAGGACTGAGACCAAATGATTAAACAAACAGCACCAGCTGTCAATCTGCTTGATTTAAACGAAACCTGTAGCCACACTAGCTATTTATGGATAAGACTAGTGACCCCTGCTCTACAGGGAACAAACTATATTATTTTTTTATTAAATATTAAAAATATATTATTAAATATAAAATATAGTATTATTAAAAATATATTTATTAAATATTTAAAATATATTATTTTTAATATTTAATATATTTCGGAGGGAAAAAATGAAAACGAAAAATGTAAAATGTGCCATAACATTTGCACAGCTGACATTATGTTTTGTTTTTTCACCAATATGTTAAATTCAGCAAATAAAAAGTAATTGTGCATTAAAATGTGCCGTTCTTAACTTTTTTTCACAATGCAGTGCTTTTTGTATGCAACTGTATTGGCTTAAGTAATACAGACCTCAGTTTCAACTCCTAGTAAAATTATTGCTAGTATTAAATTTCCTCACATACCAAATAGGCTTGTGCAATGCAATGATTTGACCAACCCTACATGATCTTGCACTACCATGACTTTCAGTGACTTGGACTCCAATTATATTATTTCAAAACTTAAACTTGATAAAAAGGGTCAACCACTCATCTAAACAATGTGCCAAGTAAAAAATAAGGATGCATCAACACCAGTTTTTCAAACCAAGTGTGAGTACGAGTGCATTTTTTTGTGTTTGCCGATACTGAGTCCGATACCATACTGAGTAACCTACTTACAACTAACTTGTTGCTGGTATGATGAGTGCAATGTATCTTAACAATTAAATCATTAAAATCTAGTTGATTTTAAATGAAGTGCACTAGCTAGCTATACTGCATTAGTTTTCTCAGATCAAGTAGCCCTACAGTGGAGAACAGCAGGCAGAAACGCGCTTCTGTATAGCTGTAAGTAAAGTACAAGTCATAGTTTTGCTCCTCGCCTCTCTCAACAACAGTCTCTGTAGCACAGTGAGAGCAGTAATTACATCCAGGGTAAAGCACCTGAGGAGCTCAAAGGTTTTGAGTTTTACGTCTTGTTGGGAGTATTTTATTTGGCTGGCTGAGCTGTGGACGAATGTCCTCTAAAGCCAACCATACACAGTGCGAATTTAGAAATCTTGTTCGTTGGTGACATGCGCTGTATGTTTGAATAGATCATCATGTACAGACAAAGCCTAAGATTTATACATTAAATGCAGCCTCTACAGACAGCTCTGTCTACGGACATTTTCAAATAAAGCTGTTTCATTCAAAATAACTCGCTGTGCATCCGAGTACTGAGCATAAAGAAACTGATCAGCGCTGTTAACACTGTGCACTGAAGCTAAAAAACAGCTTAAAAAAAAATCAAAAATCAAAAATCACAGTATTAACGTATTAATCTCACCATTTAGTCAAACAGAGTAAAGTCGGCATAGAGGAACTTCAGTAGGAAATGTCAGCTTTGTTTTGTCTCCGTTTAGTTGACCTGCGTGTCTCCACTGGAACTGGTGAAGTGGTTGTGATTGTGTTTGTTTTAAAAACAGGCTAAATTTACACAGTGAATTCCTGGCAAGAATATGCCAGTCAGTAACACCTCTCTGTGTGAGCAAAGCCTCCTTCACTGCATTTGTTTATTAGCGAGGCAGTGCAGACTCGGCTTACGTCACAGTGGGTATCAGAGCATTTTTATGAGTACGAGTAAACAAGCACAGTATCGGACAGATCCCCGATTCCAGCATCACTATCAATGCATCCCTTGTAAAAACCATAACAAATAACTTGTCACAAAAGATGCTAACACTTCAAATCTTCAGAATTATGAAAGGCTGGCTTTATATGGTGAAACTTGCATGGAGCTTCAGTTGCTTTATGTGGAAAAAATTATTCATGGTGCAGTGTATTTCGCAGTATTTATTTACAGCCTGTCTGTTTTTTTACTTGGAAGTCTGTAACTGCATAATCATAGCAGCAAGCCTAAATCAGAGTCAAAATACCTCAAGATTAGTCTTTTCCCCCAAAGATGCACAAGTGACAATCGATTAATCATACAGCGTTAATCAAGATTTTTTAAAATGGGGGGAAAGAGCAAATGTCTAATACAAAAGCCCCGTCCCATATCTAAAGTCCTGTATACCTTTGTTGATGGTCATCCTGCAGCCCTTTTGATAATTTTTAATACTTTTAATAATGACTTTTGTCAATAACCATAGATGCATGCAGGATCAACTAATAACAGAGCGGAACTGAAACTGGTTACATTTTATATTTGTCAATTACATTATTAATAACTGTCTAATATAGCAGTACGTCCCGTCAGTGTACTTGTGAACCTTGGTGTGTATGTATACCTGAAGAGGGCAGAGGGTGTGGCTGCCAACAGCCGACTACCATCTGGTGACCAAGTCACATTTGTGACTCCTCCACCTCCCACTCGCTGCAGAGGAACACAGTTTTCTGCAGCTACATCCCAGACCTATTTAACACACAAGCAACAAACATCACACAGTGCTATATCAGCAACTGTTTCTAATAGCTATATCAGTTTGCAGGCTTAAAAGCAGTTTAGAAATATTCATTACAAAAGAGGTCATCCGCTTCAAGACTTTTCCATATCTTGTAAATACAGCTGTAGGCAAACGTTTTGACACCTCTGGTACAATGACATGTTTTGTTGATTTTTGTAAAAGTGAAATTAAGTTAAGTATTATTTGCGTTAATGTATGGGTGGGGGGACAAAGGTTTGCATAGGCCACATTTTATGTTTTATGTTTTTCCAATGTGTTAAATTCAGCAAGTACACTAATTAAAATTTGCAGAAATTAGTTCTCTATAGAGAATGTGTAATTATTTTCACTTCAAAAAAAAACAAAACAAAAAACACAACAAACAAAAAAAAAGATGTAATTTGACCTTGGGCACCAAAACCTTCGCAACACTTTTTATGACAGTTCACAGAAGTGCCTTTATGACCACCCACTTTTGCCGTTCGCCAAAGCAGCTCTGTCCAGGAGAGGCATGGACACTACAAGAGAAAGAGGCCCACTGCCATCAGAGAGTACCAACGCCATGAAGCGATGTACCTGATTTGCAATGATGTTTAGGAAGGTGGCCAAACTGATCTCCATATGATTGCCTGTAGAAGAAAACTGGCCAGAGCATCACACTCTCTCCATCGACCTGTCTTCTTCCCGCATTCTGGTGCCATCATTTCCCCAGGTAAACAATGCACACATATGGCTGTCCACAGAAAATGGGACTTATTAGACCAGGTGACCTTCTTCTGTGTGCTATGACAAATTACTCCCATAACCAACATTAACAATTTCTGTGACTTGTGCCACAGTGGCCCTTCTGTCGGTTCAGAACAGATGGGATAGCCTTCGTTGCCCTTGCACATCATTAGCTGTGGGCACCTAACAACCAGTCTATGGTTTGTCCCTTATTGGACCACTGTTGTTAGGCGTTCACCACTGTTGACAACCCCACAAGCCTTGCCGTTACTCCGACTCAGTCATTTGGTCCTGGTCAAAGTCACTCAGGTCTTTTTCCCTAAGTATTTCTCCTGCATGCAATAACTTAACAATGAGAACAGACTGTTTGTTTACCGTCTAATGTGTCCCAGACCTTGACATACGCTATTGCTACGAGATAATATATGTTATTTGCTTTATCTGTGAGTAGTCATAATGTTTGACTCATTGGGTGTGAATGCATTTACAAACTGGCAGATATTCTATGAGATTAGCAAAATAAAAAATCCTTTCATTTACTGTAACCAATAGTATCAGTACAGAAACAAACCATCATGGCAGTGTCCACAGGGGAGGCAGACACTAGTAAAGAACCGGAAGGGGACCAAGCAATGGAAGTGACCGGAGAGTGACCAGGATGAAACAACACCTGAGCACAACCAGAGGATGGCCTGAGAGAGAGTTTGAGAGAGGCAGAGATAGAGAGGGAGAAGAGATGTTTTTAAATATGACATACACATTTGTTTCATAGCACTATACGGCACTACAGAGTAAATAATAACAAAAAGATAATCTAACTAATATTAATACTGTAACGTTGAGTAAACTGGAAGGGATATGTACTTTTAAATTTTCTTTTGTGTTAGGGGTTTTATTTATGATACACCAATATTTTAGTAAACATTACACTGAACTACAGTGGACAGTGTCTCTACTAACAATGACAGTTTTAAATGTATAATTTAAAATACACACATTTCTTAATGTTTCTCAGACCTGGCACACAAAGTTTGGAGTTAAAAAACATTAGGAACCAGCAAACCACAAAACAGATCTATCACATCTATATATCTGGAACAAAGTGCTATGGACCCTATTAATGAAACATTAAGCTGGTATTAATATTATGATATACAGTACTAGTATTGAAAAAAAGTCTTTTGAGAAAAATATATGTAAAGCCATTTGTCTGGGCAGAAAGCATGTATTTGTTTAATAAATAAATAAATACTAACCAGCATTTCACGCAGACCATTTCTTTCAGTCAACATAATGCCAAGCAAGCATATATAACAAACAGATGGTCTGACCTACTGTCTGGTATACTGAACGCACTACTGTTTAGTATATAGCCCATTTTCACCTGCCAACTTTGTTAGTGATGAAGATAACAATTTAGATATGTGTCTGAACTTTGGGCGCTGGAGGGTCTCACTACGGTCTAGCAGAGGGTCTTATGTGAAACTGTCCCTTGCACTCCCCTGACCTAAACTGCATTCTTTTTATAAAATAGATTGATAAAAAAAAAAGCTATTTTTTTTATTGATCTAAATGTACTGGGGCAGGTGTTCACATACCAGAGCACACAGAATATAATTTATGTTTGGGGTAACTTCAAACAAATAAACAATACATTGCGATCTTGTGTGTGTGAGTGTGTTAGCTTCACCAAATACTCCAGGAAGTGCAATATTTAGAGTTCTACTTCAGCTACTTCAGCTAATTAGTCCTTCAGTAAATTAAATCAGGTGCTGGTGATGCAATTTAACCCATCCATACAATGACTGAAGTTTGAGAACAAAACCTGTGTTCTTCTAACTAATATATTATTATTTTGTCAATCTTGTTATGCATTATTAGGCCTGGGCAATAGGAGTATGTAATCACATATTATCGATGATGGACAAATAACCCAATTGGCAATGTGTAAAAGGCAATAACTGCCGTTTTAGAAAACTGACAGAGAATTAGAGAGCACTAATTTTCAAGATGGCTTGTCAATATGTTGGAAAATTGGGCTCACATTTAAGAAGTGTGCAGGTGTATGCCCCAACAATCAGTTTTTTTTATGTTTGAGAGAGAGAGTGAGAGAGAGAGAGAGAGAGTGAGAGTGAGAGTGAGAGAGAGAGAGAGAGAGAGAGAGAGAGAGAGAGAGAGAGAAAGCGAGCAAAGTTTGTTAAGAAGCTGTCTGTTCTTTCAACTACACACTGGTGATGCTAGTTTTACCCATCCCACAACTCTTTATCTATTATTTATTTTACTTTATGTTAAGTTTATCTTGAATGAATGGAACCAAAAATAAATGCTGACGTGCTCTGGAATTTCAACTTGCGTCAGAGTAACTGCAGTAAAACAAACAAGCTAAAGTGACTTGGTTTCACCCTAGAGCAGCATGCTCCAGCCCAGCAGAGCAATTCCCTCTGATCCCCTTTGCAGCTGTGAACGGGATCAGAAATAATATGTACATATAAAAACAGAGTTATAATAGGGCCATTAAAAGGTTATGCTGCAATAAATTCCCCACCGTCTCTGTTGTGTGATTTACTGAGTGAAATTTGCAGTATTTCCTGTACAGCTTAGGTGTCCCTGTGGTTAGCTGAATTATGAAAATGCTGCTGTAACTAGGGAAAATGTCTCATTTTTTAAATATGTAATGTGCGTGACCCTGTTTCGAAACTGCTTTGTCTGAACAGTCAGACGTTCCTCCAGCAGTGACCAAGTCGCCATGAATCCGTACCGTACAGTTCATGACTGCACATGTTTGTGGCAAAGTTTATTACAATGACAGGTGACATAGTTTTCAAAAGATGTTGGTTACTCAGTATTATATTAATATGAGATTTTATAAAAAGGTTTTTGAGGTGGGGGGGTATAATCGATGATCACGATGATTTTTTAAACTAGAAAATATTGTTTTTTTTAAATTATTTTTAAACAATTGTCTGCATAAAACTTTTGTATATAACTGTACATTATCTACATATGTATATTTGGTTGTGTGTGTGCCAATACCGAGTAGACAGTGAAGTAGGATCAACATGCCAAACGAGTAGGCAGGTATGGCATGCCACAGCCAGAGCAGATGCACACAGAGGCTTCCACTGCATAGCACTCACATTCCTCTGCAGTCTGTGCTTCAGAGTTGGAGCTGTTGTACTGAGAGAAGAAAGATCAAGAAATTAAGATAAGTATTAGACATATAGAATTATTAGTCAGAACTGGTCACAAAAGTATTCAGTGTCCAAGAAAATTTTCCAAGTTTCACTATATTAAAAATAGTTAGTTATTTTGGTAAATTTTAACTAGAAAATATCATGCTAATTATTTTTAGATATCACCCAGGCCTAGTCCAATTTCAAAATAATTAGGTAAGCCACAAATAAAAATGTCAGCCTGCCTGTATAGTAAACCTGTGTGGAGACACTTTCTCTACAACTGCTACAAGTTCAGTCATTTCATTTTTATTACATTGGTAATATGAGCTAGTTTGACTGAATAATAAACAAAGTGAGCCTGTAAAGCCTATGCTCTGCAGACTGTTTGGTTGAGACCAACTTTAGAAAGTTACGTTTTAACCCTGTCATCTTGGCAGCAACTAAACCTTATTAAATACTTATTAGCACACCCACCATAAGACAAGCAGAGAATGTTGATGGGGCTTCAGCATTGCACTGAGTGCAGCAGCAAGAAAATTATTTCCTTTCATTTAATTTAGAAATCCACCATTAAAATGAACCCCATTTGATTGCTTGGAGCAAACCAGGTGATTACACCATTTGTTACATCCTCCTGAAAAGACAGTGTTGCATTTTTGTATGCAGTACGTCATACAGGTATTTTTGGTGTACTAGGGAAATTAATTGGTCACATACTGCATGTTACTTACTACCTTGGGCACAATCAGTAGTGAGCAGTATATAGTAGGCTATTTCGAACAGCCAACATTTGTCACATTGCGGATTTGACCATCTGAAGTACCTCCGAGAGTTGTAGATCTTGATGGAGTCATCCAGAAGGGCTACTGCAAATTTGTCTGTGTGAGGGTGCCACGCAAAGCTTCGGATAGCACTATCAGACCTAAAAACATATAAATAAAAAATAATAACAAAATAAGACAACTGACATGTATTCAATGGAATAGCAGTTACAGTCTAATAATGCCTGAATTTATTAATGCTATGACAAATCTAGAGTTAAAATTAATCAAGTATTGCAACAACCCCCTTATTCATGGATGTAAAATTGCAATTACATAGTCAAGGTTCACTTTATTTTTGCTTTATTCTGGAAGAAACAAAAGACAGTGTTCAGCAAGGTCATCTATGAGATATTTGGCTACCTGCCAAAAGAAAGTCAAGCAACCCCAAATAGTGCGTATTTCCAAAACGTCTTTACCAGGTGATTACAGCTAGACTCATTTATCACCAGTTTGAATCTACTTTATGCACATTTTCACACTCCACCATACTGACTGTTAACACTGTCCCAAACAAATAGCTAAAACAATAATGTTATATTATATTTGCAGCACAAATGTAACATTAACTACAAGAAAGAAAGCTTAAAAAAAACAAATAAACAAAAACCATTACCAATCCAGCACTTGGGAAAATTCAGCAACCATCTCCTCTCCACTCAACTGATAAGAAACAACACAAATATCAAATTAATACATAGCAGTGCCCGTTCCAAACTGTAGAATATGAAATTCCCTTTATCATATAAAAAAGCTGGTCAAGCTGGTTAAGACCATCTCATTAGGATGTGGCTGCTAAAATGGTTACAATAAGATTGTATAATTGTTTAGTCTTTGTCATACAGCAAACATCAGAGACCAAAAACTGCACAATGATTTAGAGAAGGAAAGAAAATCGATCAGAAAAACAATAAAATGTGGAATGGATGCAGTAACGCTCACAGTCAGATGTGGGAACAGAGAGCCATGGAATGAAGACATCCATCGTAGCAGGGCCAAAATGCACCCAGAACTCACTGTCAGCCACTTAGGCACTGTGGAAAAACACACAACGGCACAATTTCACCAGTCCGTTGGGTGAACAGCAGTTTTTAGATGAGCAACTGGCACATACGTAAAAATAAATAAATAAAAAATTTTCACACCTTCCTCAGCACTGTTAGTGATTTCATCCAATAAGCCGGAAAGCCCTGCATCTCTCCTTCACAGGTAAGACAAAAAAACAGCAGGTCTCATGTTTCAAAGGTTTTTTCTTGCTTGACAATTAAAACTACTATGTTAAAGAAACTCTTTTCAATAACTTCTGCTTACTCATGACATTCACTTGTTCCATTGACCATACAATTTGCATAACATTACTTTCTGCATCAAAAAGAGGTTTTATAAGCATATTTGTACCACGCTCCAGCACTCCTCATCCATAATGTATCTTTGTGATCCAGGAAAGCGGCTTTGCTGCTGCTCTCTGGACGACTGTGCGGCTTCAGAGTGTCCCTAGGAAAATTCAGACTAGGAGGCTCCCAATGCTAAAAAATGAAATAAATACACAACGCTGTGTAAACGATTTTTTAGGGAGACTAAACCATACATACAAACATATATTCTGGTACAACAAGTGAAACAACATATTTTATAACAGTTCAACAGTTCAGACACATTAAGGTTAACTCACAAATAAAATGTAAAATGATTCAGTAAGTAAACTTATGACACAGCTGTCATTTTCTGGCCCTGGTTTTGCTTCTTATTGTTCTTCATCCATCAATGAAATGAATAATGTAATGCGCTCAGTTTTATTTCCACCTTTGCCACCATGGACAGGAATGTTTTCTGGTGAAAACAGTTATGTAAGGTCTGACATGGGTCATGTTACTAAAGAACCAGAAACTGAGATTCGGCTGCTAGACATCATTGGACTTCACTATGCCCACCAGCAGTTTGTAAATGAATCACATATTACAGTAACTTAACTCATTTTGGAATACAATAAAGAGTACATTCAATATTTCAGTGGCATTTTCCCAGTTTACGAGGCACACATCAAGCACGGATATAGATTTGAAGGCATTCACTGAAGTTCTAAACTGAAGTTCAGTTTAAAGTGTGAAGATAAGGCAGACGTGTAATATTTGTGAGAAAATAAATGCAGAAAAGAAAATGATGTGAGCGCAAAGACAAGAGCAGTCAGTATGTCATATGCTCACCTGTTTCTCGTAGCAGTCAGGCGAACCTCCCGAAACAAGCTCATTATTTGCTTCGTACAATGTGATTTGTCCACTCGGCAACGGTGGAGGAAACAACGCAAGTGAGCACATCATTCAAACGCAAACCTGTAAGACACGAAACTATCTTTACCACAGGTTCACACAGATCTAAGGTGTATTACCTAGGGTAGCTAGGTTAGCTGGCTAGACGGCATTTGGCGCATTCAACAGTTACAGGATAATTCCCAGGTTTCAGTCAGGAATTTCTTTTCGTTTTTCGTAAAAGGAGACTGTCTGGCTGGTTCTTTGTTTTTAAATGCTAAAAGCCAACCTGTTAGCTAGCTACATTTATTAATATAGTTAGCTAGGTTAGCTAGGTATCATACTTAGCTAGCTAGCAGACAAACGTTGTTAGCGACCTAAACGCCTCCTGCGGTGAGCTTGAAACTGTGGGTGTAAGCATTTCTGCTCTATATTCTATTATCTATATTCTTCAACAGAAACGCAAATTAAAAATAAAGGACAAATAGTTTGACACACCAGACTTCACTTCAGTAATGCTCCAGAAATCGCGCCATGCTCTCAACTACGGCACCTCTACAGGGACAAAAAGTACAGACTGGAGTAACGTGAATGAGACGCCTGCAGGCCTACACTGACACCCACTGTTTAAACCGGCAATTACATTAAATCAAAGCGTGTGCCTCTGTGCGGCGTTCACGTTTTTTTTTCTCTGTATTTGGTATTTATGAGAGGTGGAGGTCCACAACTCGAACGGTTAAATAAGAAGATGTTGCTCGTTGTAAATTATCTTGGAGTGCTCGTGTAAAGAGACTCGAGTGATGCGGAAATCGCTGCTCGAACTGTTTATAGCGACTGTCACGGCGACGCTATAAGGCCATTTCAGTGAGCAGTCAGCACCATTTTAGCTCGAGCCACGTTCGCGCCCCCTTGTGGGAGTTACTGCTGTCGCGTGACGTCAGTTCAGCACCGGACGGGAGAACAGCTCCTCTCTCTCCCCCCATCATCTCCTCCTCCGCCTGCAAGCCGAGTCCCCCCCTAACGCTACTCCTCGACGAGGGCCGTTCGCCCGATGGGACTCGTTCTGAATCGGCCGAGCTCACTGGGACTCCTGATAAGGATAAAGAAGGGACACTATTCGAGCGGAGAGGATAAGACGGAGAGACAACAACAGCGCGGGCGGAATCAGGAGGAAAGGAAAAAAAATCTGATCCCACCCCTCACTTGACAACGCGACAACAGCGAGCTGCTGAGATACGGTAAGGGTTTTTTTATTCTGCCGTCCATACCCCAAACTTGCCATCGCCGCGCCGCGTTAGTCCGCGGCGGCAGCGTGACAGCAGTGCGGGACGTCAGCGAAAATCGTTTCAAAAAGGTGCGAGAAAATGTGTGAGGCGAGCGAGCGCGCGTGCGTGCGCGCGTGTATCTTCCTCTCACACAGACATTGCGGCACTTCGCGTTCGCTCCGGACCGCATGGCTGAGCGATTTTGCATTGGCCATTGATGCTTGTTGTTGTTTATGGTGTGTTTTTCTTTTTTCCTCCCCCTCGGTGTCATCGCTTCTCCATTTTACGCTACACAGGCGCGCGCGCGCGCACACACACCGCTGCACCGTCCTTATTCTTTTATTTCGTTTTTCGCGCGGACGTCAGGAACCCAGCGATGGTGCAGCGTCGTTGTTAGCTCGCTGCGGGGCATATATCCCAGCTTGAAAACACACACACACACCATCATGTGACGTGGACGCGTGCGAACGCACACACACACAAATACACACGCGCGCACAGAATATCATGCGAGATACGGCTATGTAAACGTCTCCATTGCTAAACTAGCAGGTCCTCATAGACTGGCTGAGGAAGACTCGTACACGTTAGTGCACTCACAGCAGTTATGCAATTTAATCGTATTGTGCGGAAACTGAAAATGACGTACGCACGGTTCCTACGTAAGCGCCCGTTTGTTTGGAGCGCCTTACGCAAACAGCGTAGCGCCGAAGGATGCACATACTGTACTGCCTGATTGTGTCTTCTGCTTAGTGTATTATAGCCAGTGATCATCTTAGAAGGCGAGATATGAACCCACACAGCCAGTGGTTCTACCATCACAGCTAACATGATTGCACATAAGCATGACTGTCTTACTATAGGAATATCTGCCAGCTGTTAGAACAGCAGGCCTTAATGGTATTATCTCCCATCATAGCCATCGTCTATCATCTCGACTGAGTCTAGGGGTGGGCAATATTGCGATATTACATCAGTAATTACATCACATTATGTCACAATATGCTTTTTGAGTGTCTTTGGATAGCGTCGGTACCAACTAACTGCATGTTTCATTAAAAAGAGAGTGCTGTTTAAGCGGATTCATTAGCATTGAATAAAATTATTGTATTGCATTCTATTTATTTTTTTGATAGTATGTTTTATGTGGCACCGTTATTGTTTTTTATCCAAACTTATAAAACTTCAGAAAAAAAATATCATGATGTATATTATGTATAGAGAATATGTTTTGAAGTATTGCGATGTTATATTTTGGTCATATCGCCCACTACTATGGCTGGCACTAGAATATATTGCTATAGACATTGTTGTTGTGATTGTTACAGTATTATCAGACTATCATGACAAAAGGCCTTGTTCCTAATGTCACCGCCAATATTGGCTACTTTAACAACTGTCACTATTGCAACCTATATTATACAATAATTTTGCTATGAGTTACTGTAAATGGCATCAAGTACCATCACAGTATCACTCTGCAAAGGGTCTACGTGGCACTATCACTGATGTCAGCTTCTATCATGGTTGACATACTTACATAGTTCTTGTAAATAAGATCTTCAGACTATCACTACAAAATGTCTTGATGGTAATATTATCATTGTTATTGACATGCTTTCCCTACAAAAGCCCTATTGATTAAGTATTATTATCACCTGCAATGTTTCCCAGCTGCAGTCCTGGAGAGTCGCTTTCACTGCATGGTTTGGCTCCAACACATGCTCTAACACACCTGAGTCATACCATGAGAAAATTATCAAGCTCTCCATGAGCTGAATCAGGCATGGTAGACCAGTAAAGCATGAAACTGCACATTTTAAGGGGCTTGTGGAAATGAAGTTGGGGGAACACTGATTCAACTACACAGTGACAAAAGCTACTGCTGCTGAAGTCAGATGTTAATTACCTTTTGTCATTTTTCAACACTATCTGCTACTGTTACCAGTAATGTCTTTGTGCCCATGAATATGTTGATAGTCGAATGACCAAGTGAATTAATCAACTAATAACTGATCAATTGGCTTAAATGTGACCAGTAAAGGGTTTAGCACTGTAACAATATAGTGTTTGGCAATATTTGGACAAACTGAGATACTGTTCATCAAGAGCTAAATTACCACCATGGAGAAAAGTGTGGGGCTTTGTTAAGTCTTAACATACATTTGAACTACAGTAAGTAATAAGCAATAGCTAAAAAGAAGTGATATATTATAAATGTTGATCAGTGTTATAGCTCTTCAGGCTGCAGCATCGTGTAACCAGTTTAACATGTTAACATGTTAGCTCATGTGTGAATAGGTTTCCAGGATGCGCAGATGATATTTTTTCCAAGTGAAAATGGTGTTTACAAAATGAGTTATTTGTTAATGAGTATTTTAAGCTGATTAACCAGTTGTATGTAGTAAGCTAGCTAATGTATGTAACACTTTAACAGGATGAGCTGCCGAATGTTCAATAATTTTTTTTAAGTAGCCTGCTAAATACTTCTAATAAACAGAAACGCATGGAATATTTCAGTGACTAATGTTAGTAATGCAACATGATGAGCTTCACTGATTTTGTAAGGATAAAGCTCATTCTGGCAGTGAGGAATCGCGCATCCTCAAAGAATAGATCGATTTGTCAGAACACCAGCATGGAGGGAAACAACATTTACTCACTGTTCTGCTGCTTCAGAATGCACACCAGGTGGTCGAAGGTAATGTCGTTCTTCTGTGGAAAGCTAAGTCAGACTTGCGAATGTTATGCATGTGATTACTTTATCATTCATTTTGAGAAAATGCCCCCAGACTTTTTTACCTTTTTAGCCATGACTGTTCTTTTTCTTTCGCTATCTGCTCATATAGGTATGACACTATAAGTGAATTGCTGCCCTCTTGCTGTAAATAATTATTTATGTCAAGAAAGCTACAATTGTGCTATCCGTTTTATTTCAGCACAGCTGTCTTTGTGGAGAAGTGTGAATTGTTTTCATAGCAGGGGGTTCTAACCCTTCCTCTTTCATCCTCGTTGCTCACTAGCAGCTCAACACACAGCATTTCACACAAAGAGGGCCAACAGTAACAGAGTAACAGGAAAAATATTTTATTTTATTATACTCATTTAAAAATAGCCAAGTGAATTTCTTTTCTGCTGTTGGGATGGCCACTAGGGGTCCTGCACAAACAGACTAAATTACATTATGATAAGATTTTCTGATATATGTCAGTATCGAAAGAACAATGAAAATCGTTGAACAAGAAAGTTATGCTCAGAGTTTTTACCAGCATTTTTAAAAGTTGCCTTACTGGTGCATCGTGTCTGTTCCAGCTTCCAAAACAATTATCATGATATCTATTGTGTATAGTGAAAATGTCTGCAAGTGTTGGGATGTTATATTTTTGTCTACCCATGTTCATCACTTCTCTTCCTCTTTCCAGGTGTTTTGGAAAACATCAGCATTTCCACCTGTTTGTGTGAACATTAAGGACCACTAATCTTGGGGGGCTCTTAGATGAGTGTGGCCGCCCATGGCTTGCGTCCATGAGCAGTGTGCCCCCTCCCCCTCCCTTTCGGGATTCAACACCCCAATATCTGAGACCCCCTATCGCCGGCCAGACTCTGATGTAACTGCTTGCACCCCTGATACTGAACTAACCCCCACACAGTGTGTTCTCCGCAATGTACTGTCGATCGATCCTGTCGGTGACGGGAGCACCACCCACACGCAAGGCAACAGCCCCACCCCTAGTGACGAGCCTGCCCAGTTCTCCAACAGCGTGCTGAAGCTGCAGGAGGGTGGAGCAGAGGGAGGAGCAGTACGCAGTCAATCAGACAGCTTCAGATTGCAGGCGGGAGGCGGGGGTTTTCTGGAGGGATTATTTGGATGCTTAAAGCCAGTGTGGACCATGATTGGCAAAGCCTACTCCACAGAAAACAAACAGAGCCAAGAGGGTGAGTAAGAGACAACACACTGATAAAAATAAAGGTCCCAAAAAGGGTTTTTTGGAGCGATGCCACAGAAGAACCACTTTTGCTTCAAGTGGATGGTTCTTTAGACAGTCTTTCTAATGAGATTTACAAGTGTAAAGTTTAAAGATCCTTCCACATAATGTAACGGTTCAGTCAATAAAGGTTTAAGAACCATTTAGGAACCTTTATTTTTTTTTAAATATCATTGCTTGCATAACTCTCCACTTGCATGCACAACCATAAATTACTGATCATTTAAGCCCTTAAACTCTAGGTTTATTATACAGTTATTAATCTGAAGATGTATTTAATGCCTACTACAAATTATTCAGTAGCTACTATGAAACTAATGTGTAAACTGTGTAATTAAGATTTGTAGTGAAGAATTGAACTGTGGACCCACACATGGGTCCTTTAGGGTTGAAGGGATTATAGCCAGGTTTCTAGACATAGCTTAAGTCTTTTGGAGGAAGCTGTTCCCCAAAAGACCTGGTTGAAAGACTTACAATTAATCTAGAAGTAATCAGTGTCAGGAAAACTGGTCCAAAGTCATTTTGAGAAAATTAGCAAACAAAAAAATGTCTCCCTTAGAATCCTGGGAGGTGCCATTTGAGGAGATCTCGGAGCTACAGTGGGTGGGGAGCGGGGCGCAGGGAGCAGTCTTCCTGGGCAAGTTCCATGGTGAAGAGGTGGCTGTGAAGAAAGTGAGAGACATAAAAGAAACTGAAATCAAACACCTGCGCAAGCTTAAGCACCCAAACATCATCACATTCAAGTGAGTAAATACACACAGGCCTCCTGTGGTTAAGCATGCTTTGGCTTCTGGTCAGTAAGCCAGAGGTCATTGACTCCATTGTCCACAGATGTCGTGTGACAATAAAGGAACCTTATTTTTTGCTTCCATTTATTCTGTCTTAAGCCAGCTGGCTCACTATAGGTCTTAGGCCCAGAAACACCACACATTTGGTTTGTTAAGTGGTAAAAAAAAAGCACAACAGTAAAAGTCGATATTAAAAAAAGGATGCCTGTAACAGTACTGTGTTGACTGACTTTATATTTCTTTAATGGCAGGCTGTGTAAACAGTTTAGAGAAATTTCAGAACTGATTGTTTAGTGAAAAATAAATTATTATTATGATAATTATTTTTTCAGGTATTTAAAGCAACTGAGAAAAAAGGGAATACTGTACATATGTATACCATACAAATATCTATTTTATTTTCAAATTTTACTTTTCTACATCATTTGAACACAGCATCTGCCTGTTGCATTGTGTGAAAATTTCAGTGAGTTGACCAAAAGAAATGCTCCAAAATGGCTTAGAATAAAATCTCTTTACAGTAACTTATATTAAAAATAAAATTGTTTTTGTCTGTTACCATTTTGGAGATTTGTTTGGTTTTTTGTGTTTGTGTTTTTTTACAGTGCGGATATCAAAAACCAAGGTCTAATGTCTTCTTATCCTCCATACAGAGCACTAGTAAACTGCAAATCAGTTAATAAACCACAATAGAGATTAGTGAAATACTGACATTTAGAAGACTAACAAAATCACTAGTATGTATATTAATGTAATAAGATTTTATTACGTGACTTTTTGACCATCCCTGTTGATCTATTCATTCCCACAGTCTAAATAGTCGTTGACATTCATATGGTGTATGTATGGTATTGTGCAAAATCCTTATTTAAAACCATTTATCTTGACTTGTTTTTACCAGAAACACACGTTTCTTATTTTGTAAAAAAGTGGTTGATATCTTGTGAGCTAGTTTAATAAACAGAGTTTGGTTCCACATGTCTCTTGAATGCCCCCAGCCATTGCATTTATTAAATCCCACCACCATCTCACTTGATTTAACATAATGAAGCATTGATTTGCCAAAAAAAAATGGTATTGGATGATATCTATAAATAATACTACGCTTTCTGAAGGAGAGATTTGAATAAACACATTAATATACATAAAATCACTACTTATTGTATTAATATTATTTTTATTTATTCTAATATTAGTGTTTTTCTGAGCAAATAAAAGTCTTAGTGCCCAGAAAAAACACCTTTTAATTCTAGTTTTCTCAGGTGCCTGAGAATATATCACTGCTGTCGAAACAAAATCTTGTATCTCCACTTTTTACTATTTTCTTTTTTTTCACGATTTGAAAAATTCCAGCTGCCCTTTACACTGTGCCAAATTTAATGATAACAGGTGCTTATCCAGAAGTGTTCAACTGTGTTCAGTGTTCACACTAAAGCTCTCTATATGTTACTCTCTTTATATGTGTATGTTTTAGGGGTGTGTGCACACAAGCTCCATGTTACTGCATTATCATGGAGTACTGTGCACAGGGGCAGCTCTATGAGGTTTTGCGAGCAGGGAGAAAGATCACACCATCACTGCTGGTTGACTGGGCCATGGGCATCGCAGGCGGCATGAACTACCTCCACCTGCACAAGATCATTCACAGAGACCTCAAATCGCCCAAGTGAGTTCTGCAATACACATATACGCTCTCATATAGAGACACGTAATCTCCATTACAGTAATCAGGCCTGAAAACCTGCTATATTTTCATTGTGTGCACACAAATTGATGGCCTTTTCAGTGAAAAAACAAATCTACTCAATGTATATAAGAAAGACATTCTTGTGTCTGAAGTTTGAAAAAATGGACAAAAGTACAGACAAAATTCAGGCTTCAGGATGCCTGTCTGGTTTTACTATGTGACAAACTTTTGTCCGTTTTTGTAGATTTTACAGATACAATATAATTAGGGCTGCAACAAATATTCGCTAAAATTTGATAAAGTTGATAATTAAAATGTTTGAAAATGAAAAAGCCATTCGAATAACCAATGCTTTTACCTGTTTTTAAGAAACAATATGTTTCTATGCATTATTTAACTCATCTGACAAGAAATAGTTTACTAGTAGTTTTACTAGTACCGCACAGTAGAATTTAAAGAGCACAGGATAGTCTGCCTGCATGTCACGCAAAAATAGCTATTTAAAGATAGACTTTTTCAGCAGTAGTCAGAGGTAGGACTGTTGCAACTCCATTCCTCACTAGAGATTAGAGATAATTGCAATGGTTGACAAAATATGAATTCGAATGGGAGATAACTACTTTGTCTAAAATTTGTAGGTTTTTAAAATATTATCAGGTCGTGTTTGTGCTCAGAAATAGCCTACAACTCCCAACACTCCCCTAGAGCAGCCTGTTTATTTCACTCAAAAAAGGTGATGTTAGCTAGAACAGTGCATGGCTAGTGCAGGTGTTTAACATATATAAATAAAATTAAATAAAAATACCATCTTCACCCTACACAAAGCTCATATGGGTCTTTGCTATGCTCAAAATATTTGAAAGCTGTTCTTTTTTATTTTTGTTGCAGATTAGCAGTCCTGAAATCTGGGGGTGCCATAGCCCCCTCAGCACCCTTACTTCCCATGTCCGTTAATGCAATAATTGTTAGCTAACTCATAGTTCCAGTGCCAAACAAAAGAAGCAAACTTTAGATACCAAGCATGTCTTGGCTGATTGACTACAGTTGGGGTTAAGGGAAAACAAATTGTGTTTTTAACTGAAGTATAGCTTTGAAATAAACAAAGTTTACTCAAAGCATTTCTTATTCAAGCAAAATAGCATCATCTCATCTTGTTTATTGCACCTGTTAACGCTGGCAAAGAGGACCCAAAGCAGTCACATGTTTTTTTATAGGTTAATGAGCAAAAGACTAAAAACACATTTTGCTAAATGTTCATTAAAAACATTTTCTAAAAAAATCTAAATGCATGGAATCATTTTGTCTCATTGTCCTGATTGATATGCTCCACAAAGGTTCTGGGCCTAGATGACAAAGAAAAATAAGTGTATCAGGGAAAGAAAAAAGAACAACTGCATTTAAAATCTTCAAGACAAAAAGTACAGAGTGTGGTTTAGAACGGTTTAGAGAAAAACTAGAAAACATACTGCACTGATGACTCTAAAAGATCTCTCATCAGCTTCAAAATCTGAAACACTGGATTACAATTAGCTCATGCCTGTAGAACTCTGACATAACATTTAATGGCTAGATAAGACAAAGATAGAAAGTAGCTAGAAGCTATGTCAGGGGCAAAGCACATTTTCTTTGTTGGGATGAATGGGCCTGATTCACCAACCGTTCTTAAGAAGAAATTTCTTCTTAAAACCCACTTATGCAGTTTTCATGAAGATTCTGACATTCACTAATGTTTTCTTATTTGGGATTTGTTCTTAGGTATGAACATAATTTACACACTTAAGAGCACACTCTGCGGTTTAAGAACACATCATTTGACGTAGACTTTTTTTAGGACCTTTCTCAAGAACAAATTTAAGAAACAAAGATATTAGTGAATGAGGCCGAGTGTTTTTTGTACATATTCCGAAACAAAATAAACACAATGTACTGAACTAAGAATGATCTCTGACCTAATAGGAAGTCAGTTCAGACCATAGCACCTCACCTATAGCTACATTTGCATCTAAAGGATTTTTTGCAAACAAAAATGTTGGAATGCTTCAAAAAGTTGTAGGCTAAAATTGACTCTAGGGTTACTAGGTGAGGTGGTGTTGCACTATGGAGAAAGGCAATTATCCACCACATACACCCTTTCTTAGAGGTGGCTAAGTACACCTGTAGAGCAGCCTGTCTCTGAAAACTGCAGTGATGAGAGTAGTATATATAAACAATGTATAAAGATATATGCAAATAGGGCAAATCCATCCAGTGAAGCTTTTGATAGCAAATGCTTGAACATTCATGCATGGTCAAGAGAATGATCATGACACAGCAGCATACAACTGTTTATCAATTACACCATATACACCAAATACAGCAGTTACTGCACCTATACCAGTCATTAAGACTAGAGAGATGGCAGTGGCCAAATACCTATTACGGTGTTAAAAATGAGAGGTCAGCTCAACTCAAACTGTTATAGTAACCGATTCCATGGCTTCTCTTGAGCTGACTCAACTTGAGGACACAAGAGTTCAGCCAACTCAAACTTCTCAGCTGAGACCAAAAGTTTAGTCCATTGTCCATTGCACCACGCAGGGACAACGCAGCGCAGAATTTGTTTCCATAACTATTTAATGCTCTGTAGGAAAGATTTTTTGTTTTAACTTCAAAGAGTGGCATAGTCTCTTGTGGTGCAACATTCTAATAACTCATCCCAGCATCCCAACAGAGGAAAAAAGGTCAGATGGGACTGTGTGATAGGAGTGCCAGTTGGATCAAATTCGATTTTGTTTGTCTAACTATGATGCAGACCTAGAAACAGCACCACCACTGTAAGAGTACCAAAAGCACATTCAAACATATATTTGTAGTAAGAATGGCATGTTAAAACAACAAAACACTATGTGAAATAAACAGTTAATGTGAACTAAACAGTAGATGAAAAATGTCTGCATGCAAATAAACAAAAACTGACAATGCTGGAAAGCTCCACCTCATCACTGCAGTTTTCAGAGACAGGCTGCTCAAGACTGCACAAAGTACTGGCCACTTTCCCAATAAGCTTTGCAAATAGCAGGTATTTACTATAAAAAGCAACATTTCAACTTCTTTTACAAGAAGCTGGAGCTGTTTCTCCCAGGATGCACCATTCTTTACAGCAATATTTATCTGCTGTAATTTAAGAGATGCAGTACAAAGATTTCTTTTAGATGTCTTTTAAATGACATGATATGATGAGTTGTGCTTAATTCGACCAGGTGCATAAACAAGGTAAACAAGGTTAATTTTCATTTCAGGTTGACAGTGACAAAACATGATAAAAAATGTAAAGAGTGCTTTTTCTTTCTGGAAAGACAGGATATCATGCTGGTAAGATGATATTTGCTTTGTAAATCTCAAATTGTTCACCACCTCTGACTTTGTGTGTCTTTTTTTGCTGTTAGTATGCTGATCACCCATGATGACCTGGTCAAGATCTCAGATTTTGGCACGTCGAAGGAGTTGCGGGATAAGAGCACAAAAATGTCCTTCGCTGGAACCGTGGCCTGGATGGCACCAGAAGTTATACGTAACGAACCTGTGTCAGAGAAAGTGGATATCTGGTATGAATTTTTGTGAGAGGATGAGTGAGTGGGTGTCAGTGAATGGCTTAGTGTGACAGAAATGGTAGTGAAAATAATGGTAGATGTGAATGAAAGGCCGCGAATGACTGAAACTGTAAGTTTGAGTACGTTTGAGTATATTCAGTTATTTTTTTGCTCATGCCCAGTAGGGACATCAGGAATATTTTATAGCTGGTGCTTTGAGGTAGCTGAACAATCCAACTAATGGACGGACCACAAACAATGTACAGGCCAAACCAACAGTGCATTAACTAACTAACAAAATTTTATACTGTTTTGTTGCCATCTTGGAGATTTTCACTGGTGTCTAATTATTTGCTATTGTAAACTTACTGCAAGACGTGCTACATGGCACAAACAAATAGCCAAAATAGTGAGCTGAAAGTTGTAATGTATACTACGGTTTAAAAGATTGGAATCATTATTGCAGCGATATAAAACAGTTTTCTTGCAGGTACATGTATAATGTGATTAGAATATGACTAAGAAAGCTGTAAAATAATAATAAAAAGATAATTACTGCATATTATTTATCATTTAATACTTTTGGCTGTGTCCAAAAAGCTTGAAATATTAAATATAACATATTAAAATACTCTCTACTCAGTACAGTGTATTATTGAATACAATAACAGCAGTTATTAATATAACATGTTTGAATGTTACTGTATGCAACAGTGTAAGTGAAGCAAGCTCACATCAAGGTCAAAGGGTAAGAGTATGAAAATGTATTTTAGGCTATTAAATCTTTTTAATATAAAATGTTTTGGGTTTTCTTAAACAGTGGTAAGCTTGCAAAAAACTATACCAATTTCTTCCACAATTTTGGGGGTGCTATGGGAGAGTTAAGCATATTCCATGGGTAGCCTTAGCACCCCTGTAGTGCCCTTCTGGGACTGCTAGCGCCAGTGCCTTATGCTTCTGTCCTTCACTTTCTTCTGCCCTCTCTGTAGGTCATTTGGTGTAGTTCTCTGGGAGATGCTCACAGGTGAAATCCCCTACAAAGACGTGGACTCCTCTGCTATCATCTGGGGTGTGGGCAACAATAGCCTGCAGCTGCCCCTACCTGAAAGCTGTCCTGATGGCTTCAAGATCCTCCTCAAACAATGCTGGTAAGCATGAACGTTGGAAGTGAAATGGAAAGGCAAATTGTTCTTTTAGGCTGAGTACCAGTGCTGGGCTTTGTAATTATTTGTTTATTGCGGATCACATGCCACTTTTCTGCCCCCCTTGTTGTGAACAGTGATTGCAAATTGCCAGTCTAATCGAAACCATGAATTAGTTCCACATGGCTGACATTTTCATTGTTGAAAAACAGCATTTTTAATCACAATTTCTAATGTTTCCTTTATTAATTAAAATTATTTGTAAAGTGTTTCATTTTGTACTTATGAAAAGATCAAATTTCCAGCAAGTGTACTTAACTGAAAATATATTTCTGTGGAGCTCTTCTAGAAATTAAATCCTTTATTGTGTCTTGGGAATGGACAAAAAGTTTAAAAAACCTCCCTAACACATTCCAGCAAGAAGCAAAACTGTGTTAAACCATTGATGAAGGCCTATGCATTGGAAAGGCTGGACCTTTTGTCCATAGCTATGATACAATAAAAGCTTTTAATTCCTAGAAGAGAAACATGGAAATTCATTCATTTTGTACTTTTGCACACCTATATGTAAAGCATGTTCATTAGAAATCAATAACCAATCTGCCAGTAACCATCTCTTCTGAATGAATCAGATTTTTATGTTTTTATTTTTGAGCAAACAGTTATAAATTATTTTATTACACATTTAATTAAATCTGCAATGATGGTTATATGTGTCTGCAGGAACTGCAAGCCCAGAAACAGGCCGTCATTCAGACAGATTCTGCTGCACCTGGACATAGCCTCAGCAGATGTACTGTCCACCCCACAGGAGACCTACTTCAAATCACAGGTAACACACACACACACAGACATACACAAATGTTGCTTCTCATATGCTTCAGAAATGTTCTTTGCTATACCTTCTGTTTGTGGAGGGTTTCCAGTCTTTTGCAACTCGTGGCCCACATAAACGACCACAAAGGTTTCCTCGGCCCACAAAAAGATTTAACCGATTCAGTTGTTTTTTCTGATTCGCCTAATGTGATAGCTGATGTTGTTTGACAGTTGTCGAGCGCTGAAGGTGAAGCTAGACAGAGGAAAGTTGCAAACAGAGTTTTGGCTCAATTCAATAGGTTTAGATCAGGCCTGGATCATCCCATGGGTTTTATTTTTAACGGGAGAAATAGGAAGTGGCCTGGCTTCTCATAAACTGTCTCTGATTAAACTAGAGGCACAGTGAAAAAAAATGAATTAATATAAACCTTATCATTACGCTGATCATAATCTTGACGCTTTTCACGTCCTTCCTGAACGTCCACTTCATTTTGTCCTCCAATCAATGCTTAGCAACCATTCCCTTATTCACCATTACTTTGGTCAAGTATTCAGGTTTTTTTGGCAGCGAGCTGACATTCCTGTAAATGTACCTTGCATTTGAAGCTCCATTCAAAAGATGCACCTGGGGGATCTGTAAAAGTGAAACATGATACTACTATAGAGCTGAGGATATTAATTCCAAAGCCAAACACAAATTAAAAATGTCAGCCTGAGTTAAAGAAGAAAGTTGCTGCATTGTTGTCAACAGTGATCTGCGAACTGTCTATTTCCACGCAGTGTGCTTTAGCATAGGGTGCTTAGTGGTTTAGTTTGCTGTTGTTGATTTCTTCTATCACTTATGTCGTTTTCATTGGGGTAAATGCTCTGCTTGTCAAGATCGGACACATGCTTTATAGGAAAGTCTTACACTGGTTGTTGGGTTTATGTTAACGTGCATTCTTGTTAATTGTGTGCATAATCTTGTGTTGTCTTAGATGGAAAAAAATATGCATTTAAAGCTGCTATATGCTCAGCACTGCAGTTAGTATGCTGCTATCGTGGTACTGCACAGCACTCATGTAACCTCTTGTGATATCATTAAAAATTCCCTGCCACCAAAAAACATAGCCAGGTAGGGCCCACAAAACATTTGTGCCCAGGGGCCCATAACTTGATGATCAGAGCCTGGTTTAGATTGATACTCACTATGTTTAGTCTCCAAGTGACAGTGCAAATTATTTTGCTTCACAGCCTTATTTGACAAGACCTCTGAGTGTCCATTTTGGTTTATGCTATATTTTCTCGTTTTTCTCAGTCTGAAATATGGTAACTGCTTCATTTGTAGATGGCCAAGCCTTAGGATCTTTCCATTTGAAAGACACTGATTTTAATCATTTATCATGATGTATGAATTCCATACATTTGAAAAGTTAAATGTTTTACACTGACTGGTTTGAAAATGTTAACAAAACTAGCCTAGCATTTTGCATAAATGTGTTTTTTTTTTGCAAGTAATTTGAAAACAGCTGATAGCTGATAGGCAAGGCAGAAAAAAATACCATATGGACAAATGACAAACTGGACATACAGGACATACAAACATTTGACAAAACAAACAAAGTAATAATGCCCCCTTCCCCCCTTCTTTTTTTCATGCTATAATTATGAGTAGTTGTCAGATTCTATGTAGGTGCTTTTAACCTTTTCAAATAGAGTGTGGAAAGAGAAATCAGCTCTTAATATATTGTAAAAATTGAGACCAGGTTTCCTTGAATGATTTTGTATTATTTTTTAAGATTTTTTAAGATTTTAAAGTCTTTCCAAGTTGCAGTGATCCATAAGAAGGTTAAGACAGTGTTTTATTGAAATTTGGGTTCTGTCCTTCTGGTTCAGTAGTGTAACTTTATAGGCAATGGTGAGTGATATTAATATAAAGGTCTTGAGGTGATTGGGTGCTGGAAATTAAGAGAGGTCATTAAGTAGTGCTTCCCCTGACCAAAACTGCTGGGTAGAGGGACAAATCCAGAAAGCATGCCTGTCTACTAAAACTGGGCAATGTAAGCACACACCACTGTTGCTAAATCCCATACAGTGTAGTTCAGAGGCTATAATGTAGTTTTTGTGAAGCGTTTTATATTGTATTAACTGGTGTTTTGAATTACTATGGGTTTGTATAATTGTAATAACATTTTCTGAGGTTTAAGGCAGTGTAGTTTTAAGTACAGGGAGAGTGTGATTATAAAGGTTTTTGCTATTAACTGTTTTCTGTAGAACATCTTTGAGTTGTATATACTGAAAGTGACAGTTACCTGGTATATTGTATGTTTCCTTGATATCATCAAAGGTCATGAGCATTATTAATGAAATGAAAAAGAAAGATTAGTCTACCTGGACAAGGAATATTTGCCAGGGAGAAAAAAAGAAAACCACTGTGCTAGTGTCAGACGTGATGGGACCAATTGAGCCAAATGCTCATCTGTGTGCAATCACATCTGTTTTGTGTTGTATATGTGTGCTCTTTCTTGTGTGGCTGGTGTAGGCTGAGTGGCGTGAAGAGGTGAAACAGCACTTTGAGAAGATCAAGTCAGAGGGAACATGTCTGCACCGACTGGACGAGGAGCTCATTAACCGCCGCCGTGAGGAGCTCAGGTCAGCACCATAGCAACAAGCAGCAAGTCTTTTAGAAAATCCTGCACTTTGAAAATAGTCCCAATATCAAGGGGACATCACTCAAGGGAAGATGAAATCACTCAGAAATGCTGAAAATGAACATCCACCAATTAACAATTAGTATTGCTAAGCAAATTGTACAAACATCCTTTCTCCAAATGCATAAATAGTCCAATGAATTGCTCTAGTCAATAAAATATAATTCATAAAGGAGCACAATACAAGTGTTTACCCACGACAGTTTTTTTGACTTGGGCAATAGTTTCAAGCCTCGTAAGCATACTGAAAGCATGTAACCATAACCAGTATTTCGTTTAATAATGGTATAGAATTGAAAAATTAATGTTCAGTTTTTGTTTAATTTTCCTTCATTTTCATAGCTCATTTCAGTGGATTGTGCTGCATGGCATGTGCCGCATGTGGAAAAACTACTCCAAACATTCTAAATTAAATTTTGTAAATGCAGCCTGTGTGAAAGCTCTGACATGTTAATGTGAGCACAGAAATGAAAGGCAAGACGTAGCATGTGTGAAACAGGCCTAAATAACTTAAGAGAAAACGATACGGACTGTATATTAAAGTGCCTGACTAAGCCTTTCAGAATGTGTGGAGTATTTTAGAGCATGTACAATGACTACTTTGCAGAGGAAAACAATTCCAGACTATATGTACAAAGGATACAAAGATACAATAGAAGCCTAAATAAACAGGAAACCCTATTAAGTGCATTCCAGTTTTTGCTAGAATGCACAGCTTCATAAAAAGAACCATAATGAATCACTAGACTTTCTTGACTAAGTATAACATTCTGTGTAACTGCAATGGAAGCAGAAATGATGTTACCAGTATTATTTGCTCAAAACAGGCATGCCTTGGACATCAGAGAGCATTATGAGAGGAAGCTGGAAAGAGCCAACAACCTTTACATGGAGCTGAATGCTGTCATGCTCCAACTAGAGCTGAAAGAGAAAGAGCTGCTCAGGTAAAACACATTGAAACACAAAATACATACCATCACACACATATACAGTTGCTCATACATTTCCTTGCTTTTACACTCATTGTTCATTTTATCATCTCTGCTTAGTAAACAGGTGCACTTTGTGGTTCTACAATTAGAGACTGAACATTGAGAAACAGACGGACTACAGTTTGTAATCGTAGAACTACAAAGTACACCTATATGGTAAATAGACCTGATCAAATGTACACTGAGTAAAGATACAAGAAAGGTGTACTTAATGAAGTGTCCAGTCAGTGTAGACCTTAAGTCTGAAGCCAGGAAATTTTGGTAAAATATCACTTTGAGTATATGCCACAGCTGAGTAGTAATACTGTAATATAAATACACTGCTCTACAGCACCTCCTGAAGAACATGTCCTGCATGTTTATTACCTTTCTGGCTTGCACAATGGGTTTTAACTGAAACAAAAACAATAAGAATAACTATATGCATAACAAATATCCTGACAAAGGCAATACGGCTCCATCACCTTCACCTGATAGCGAATGCTACTCTGATAACTCTGTTGCGTTTATAGGAGGGAACAATGCCTGGACAAGAAATATCCTGGACTGTTTAAACACCACCCCTCAAACACAGTGGACAAACTTATTAAAAAGAGGAATGTACCCCAGAAGCTGCCCTCTCATGGCAAGAGGTGAGGCATCGTTTGCTACTGATCTGTGACCAGTTTTAAAATCTATTATGTCGACTGAGGCAATGATGTTATCAGGGAGGATGCAGTTCATATACATAAAATATGAATGAGTTGACTTAACTGCTCAACATGGCAGTTGTATAATGGGATGAAAAGAACCAACTGCCTTATTGGTAAGGACATAACTAGGAAAAGTCTTACACTGATGTAAGTACAGATGCTGTAGGTGCTGGCTAACCATTTTGTGTTGTGAGAGGAACCCACATTTTGACAAAGGAGGATCATGCATATTATTCAGCACAATAAAAAGCAAAGGAGGGTGAATCCTCATCGAAAACACAGGAAGTTACACAGAAGCCTCAACAGCTAAATATAATATCTTTTTTTAGTATTTAGTGTGTCCACCCTTAGATTTTTACAGCTTCCATTCTTTTTTGCTAGACTTGCTTTCTGTTTTTCAAAGAAATCTGCAGGGATATTTTTCCACACATCCAAAGTTCAGTCTTAGAAGTCTCATGATTACTGTTTTTCACTCATTTTCCTTTAAATTTATCTGTGCTTATTCTGACTTTGCTCTCAGAAATATCAGAAAAAATAATAACTCGTACTTGTTAATGGCATATTTTGACTGGAAACTAAATGAAAGGTGGTCTCTGGCTTTTGCACAGTGCATTGTACAATGTTTGTGTCATTTGTGCCAAATAATGCAAATAATGCCTTATGAAGAAAGATTTTTGTTTTTTTCTAAGTAAACTTTCAATGGCTGGTTATTTGAAGAATCATTTTTGCAAGTGAAATGTGTAAGTGTGAAGAACCTTTTTATTTTAAAGTTTGAAGACCATCCACATAAAGTAAAAGTTCTAAATCAAAAGGTTTTTGTAGAACAATTTAAGAATCTTTATTTTAAGAGCACAGTGCTTAACAAAATACAGTGCCTTTTTTACAAAACTTATCTTTCCTTCCTTCTCCCTAAAACCAGACCTGACCTCCTAAGGTCAGAGGTCATTCTCCCTAAAATGGACCCAGGCGTGCTGCAGGTCACAGTTCCGTCTTGCCCTAATCGAAGCTCTACATCTCCAAGCCGTGCTCGCAGGGTTAAAACTCGCCATCGTAGGGGTGGCCGAGGCAGCAGCGGTGACCTCTCAGGACCCAAACACCCCACTGGTGCCTCCAGCAGAGAGAGAGAGACACCCACGTCCACCACAGCAGCTCCCAGTGGGACTCCTACTACTGACCAAGGTGCAGGGACTGCTTCAAGAGGAAGTCAGTTGGACACTCCGCCTCTAAAACTCTCCTCCTCTAGTCCAGACCTGCTGTGCTCCACTCACGGGGCTGAGGGTGGAGCCAGTGGTGGGACTGGCAGTCTAAGTGAAGGTCTTGGAGGTGGAGCCAGAGGCACGACCGAAACGGGGGCGGGAGTGGACGAGACTCCACCGCGAAGTGACACGGCCAGCGAGGATGCAGCGTCACTCCCTTTCTCAAGTAGCCCCGATTCCCCCTGTGGGAGGGGCGTGGCAGTGGGCCGAGGGGAGGAGAGAGAGGAAGGAGCAGGGTCAGTGCGATTACCAAGAGGAGCCAGTGGCAGTCATCTAACTCCATCAGCTATACTCTACAGGGCAGCTATCACACGCAAACAGGTACACTTAATAATAATTTTGTTTATAGACCAATACGCTGCTCATTTCTTTCTTTCTTTTATACCAACCTATGTACCACGGGTCTCTGAACACACATGATTTGACTCGATTATGATTACCTAGGAAGCAATTTGGTGCATTGTGAAATCTCAAATTTTACCATGATTCACTTTTATTTGCATTTCTGAATATTTTAAAAGACACTGTACAAACAAATTTGACTAGCAGAACTATTTACACAGTAGTGGAATACAGACAGTACAAACAATACAAGTATATTTCTGATGTTATTATGAAAGCCTAAGACTTTTGTTGCTTAAAAAAGTTAGTAGAAGCTTCATTGAATATTACTTTGGAATATTAGCATTCCAAAATTGGTTGATTTCCTATCGATTGATTCTGTCGGATTTAAGTAAATTAGATTTAAAGTAGATTTGAAGGTGCCTGTTGTGGAAGTTGGTCTTACAAAAAAGATTCTGTTCCATTAGAATAAAAAATAATCAATTCCATAATTCGGGGGCTGCCACATCAACGCATTTTTACACTCTGCCACATACATCAGTTATTCTGTAATGCAATATGTAATGTGATGTAATCCATATGTGTGTATATGTTGGTATTTCTCAGCGCCGTGGTGTGTCTTCAGAGGAAGAAGAGGGAGAGGTGGATAGTGAAGTGGAATTACCAAGGAGACGGTGAGTCAAGATGCCTCTTCTTTCACTGTTTATAGAACTCTAGATGAAAAGATGATAATTAGTCATGGAAGTAAAGTTTGTGATGGAAAAAAATCAAGCCAAACATGCCAGCTAAATGAGCTCTAGAAATATAAAAGGTTACAGATTAAAGCAGATAAGAGCTTTAATCAATTTAATGACAAATAAAAGCAGTGGTTTTGTATGGAATGTTCTATGAACAATAGTTAATTACAGTTTTATCCATAGTTTACATTAAATACACTTGTTTTGCGAATTTCCAAAATCTGGTGGATTTGTTGCCAACATATTATCACCATGGTAAAAAAACCTCAAATCTCCAAAATTCAAAATTCTCCAACTTTATAGGAGAAGGGGAAAAATCCACTGCAGCCTTATTATTCAGTTATTAATGTTGAGGTTCAAATAATTAGTAACTACTATAAATAATTTAGTAACTGCTATGAATAACTTAGTAACTACTATGAATTATTCAGTACCTAATACAGATTATTTAGTAACTACTATAAATTACTCAGTAATGGATAAGAATTATTCATAACATATAAATTATTTAGTAACTACCGTCAATGACTCACTGATTACTATGAATTATTTAGTAATCGAAGAAATTATTCGGTGACTAATATAAATTGTTAAGTAACTAGTAAAAATTATATAATATACTAACATGAATTATTTGGTTACTACTATAAATTGCTTGGTAAAAAAAATATATTCACAACATATATGAATTATGTTGTAACTACTGTTAGTTACTCACTGACTACTATGAGTTATTCAGTAACTACTACAAATTATTCACTAACTACAATGAATTATTCACTAACTACTGTTAATTACTTACAAACTACAATGAGTTATTCAGTAACTACTATTAATTATTCACTAACTACAATGAATTATTCAGTAACTACTATTAATCACTCACTAACTACAATGAATTATTCAGTAACTACTACAAATTATTCACTAACTACAATTAATTATTTAGTAACTGCTACAAATTATTCACTAACTACAATTAATTATTCAGTAACTAACACAAATCAACTACTGTAGTAACTACCATAAATTATTTAGTAACCAGTGTTAATTATTAATTATATTACATATTCAATAACTGCTATGAAGGAAACATATTAGTCATGTAGTTATGAGAGTGAGGAAATATATTTTAATCACACATATTAGCTCATTCATCATTGAATATTCACAACGCAAAGGACAGCTGGGGCTTTCAAAGTAAAGAAATAAAATAGAATTAAAAAAAGAATGTATAAAACAAGTAGGCCAAGAATGCATCCCTGAGAACTGCCTTACCTGAGGAGTGGTGGAGAATTTGTGTAGCAGTGCTGGTTTCCCCCCATGAATAAAATCTTCCATCCTCCATTACATGGAACAATAAAAGGATAATGAGTATTTGTTGTTTAACAATAGCACCTAATCCAGCCTAATTACTGCTTTTTGTTGAGCATGCTAATGTCAATGGAATCTTAATTATTTCACTACTTATTGATTTGTCCACTTCCATCTACAGACGGCCCACCAGTATAACGAAGTGCCAGTCAGTGTCCACCTTCAGCTCAGAGAACCTGTCAGTCTCCGATGGAGAAGAGGGACACACCACTGACCATTCTCATAGTGGTACACCAGACGTGGTCAGCACTAATACGGACGAGCGATTAGACGACCGCAGTGATGACCTCATCTCACAGGGTTCTGAAATCCCTGCTGATATCACCGACCCCGCCCTGTCTGAGAAAGAGGCTGCCGCCCTTGAACAAGAAAGAGCTAACTTTGACCTGGAACAAAACATCTTAGAGGTAAAAGGTCCTACTGAGGGAAACTGCTACTCAGGTTCATCGGACACTAGAGGGCACTCTTGAGAGTCCAGCAATGAATAGTGATCTGGAGCTTTTGTTGAAAACTGCAGTTCATAAATGAGTAATGCTTTTTACACAGACAAATGCACTTTTCTCAACACAGAACAGTATAAAATGTTATCAGTTTTTTTTTCATTTCTAATAGTGCCTTACATACATTTAGGAGGTCAGTGAGCATGAGCTGTTTTACTCAGCCTGTGAGCTGATCAGCTTGCCAACTGATCAACACTTAGTAGCCTTACTGCTAGCATACTACTGCCCAAACCTTTTTTTTTTGCTGTTGAAGGGCAAAAATGTAAATGTTTATGTAAAGTGGCAACATCCAGCTTTTTTGTTAATCACGTCAAATGTTTTTATCAGCTACCAATCAGGTTGCAGGTTAGAAGCCTTGTCCAGGTTTAAAGATTAGTCTTGGTAGTCAGTGAAACGCTCTTCTCATCTTGAATTGATCTGCTTCCAAAGCCAAAGCTAAGGCAGGCAGCCTCCTCAACTCTTAGTTTGACTAAATGTTGAGAAATATATTAAATCTTTGTTAATAATAATTTATTAGATAGGGTTTTGCTCAGCTAGGTAGTTATTGGTACACTTGGGCACAATATTAGGCACAACTTGTAATAGAATTTTTGTGCCTTTTCATATCGACTGTGTTGTTATATTGGCAAAAATAGCACTCTAAGTGGTCCTTTTTTATGCAAAAAAATGCCTAATATGGATATTAACTTTGTTTTAGTGTTTATTTTTACAAAATGTGATACATTACAACTGATAATAGGTCAGTTAAGCACTGTTTAACTAAAATCATTGTCTGTTTAATTTTTTACCATATTATATGACGGATTCTGTATATGTCACAGTGTATATATACATACATTGTTTCCATGTCTGATGCAGCTGACCGAGTTAGGCTGCTTCTCAAGTGGTAGGAGAGGAAACAAACAAAAGCATGGCAGTCCTTATGATGTCAATGTTGGGCTAAGGCTAACCCCAAAAGACTGGCCATTCCTTTACGTCCATTATCTCAAAAACTAAAAGGACTATTTCATTGACTAGACAGCGATGATCAAGGGACTGGTGCATTTTCATTTTCATTTGAAACATGACTAAGCTAGGGGCTAAAGAGGCTGCTGTTAGAGTGTTTTTCACTGTTTGTACATTGCGTTATCTGTGTGTATTTGTGACATACCTTTATAATGTTTATGACAGAACTCATGCCTGTAGAAAAATTTTGACCAGTATACCAGATAAACTGGTAGCCCGCTCCTAATATGATTGATAATGCTGGTTATTGAATTTGTAGCTTTTAAAATCAGTATCTGTGACATTTTCATATCAGTCAGACTAATTGAAATTCTTTCTGTCTGTCTGTCTTTCCAAGACACGTGCATTGTGTGAGGATTCAGATTGTGACAGCGCCGAACTTGATCAGTCAGGGAGCGGAGAACCAAGTCGCCCCCCGAGTGCAGGAGGCTGGGGTCAGGGTCCTCAGAACTAACACACACACAGATGCTCGCACACAGCTCTGTGCATTTGTACATACTGTATATATGTTCACTAAAACACCTACAGGATGCCAGCACACTCACTCCTATGTAGTGTCACTGAAACACCTGATACACCACATACATACAGACACACAAACACACATACACTTCCACTATGAAATCTACCTTTGGGCATGTAACACAAACTGGTGATGTAGAATCAATGTATCAAAAAGCAACTGTTAGCCACTTTAAGAACAACACACCTTCAGAACTTGGTTAAAATGATACTGAAATTCCAAAGACCAGGGCCCCATACTTTATAAATGGCTCTCACATTAACTAAACACAAATCTGGGTGTTTGGTTCCTCAAAGCAAGTTCAAGGTTGGACGTGTACCTGCTGCAGTACAGGGTAACTTAGAGAAACTCAGGATCTGTAGTAATAAAACTTACCATAAAGCCTAACATGAAGCCAAATAGTAATTACACTTACTTTTAACTCATTTGAAAATGCATGTGGTTAAAATCTTATCAGGTTACAATCCATACACAAGTCACATTAGGCCTGTCACGATCATAAAATTTTAGCTGAAGATAAATTTAAATTGACTTATTTTGATGTGCTATGTTGAAATAATGACTTGAATAATAACTCTTTACCAAAGAGTAACAAGTCATTATTTCACCATTCTGAGTCATAAATTTAGAGAATATGAGTCACTGTTTTTACAAAATAAGTAATTATTTTGACACACTAAATCCAAATACCTCAAAACAAGTTTAATTTGAGGTGAAAGAAGCAAATATAAGCACAAATAAGTCAAAATATGGACATTCTAATTCTGGCATTATATGAAGGCCGTGTTAATGAGGCATGATCACTTGAGATCATTACATCCACCGTTACTCTACACTGGTAGTTCTCAAAGCAGTCCTAAAAGACCCTCAAACAGGCCAATTTTTTGCTCCAACCTAAATTGCAACATATAGGGTCCGACAATGTGGATCGTCCCTGAGGACCAGTGCTCTACACCTTTAAGACAAGAGGAAAGAGGAGTACTGAAAGAGCAGGACAGAATGCCAGTTTCAGCTTTTACCTGCCTTTGAGGAATCAAGTATATATGACTCAAAATTTACCATTATATGGAGTACGATAATTATACAAAAGTTTTACTAATACCATTGGTTTCCAACTGTGGTCTTGGACACCCTGCTCTGCACATTTTGGTGTTTTCCCTGCTTTCGACACACCTGATCCAACCAATCAGCTTATTAACAAACCCTTCCTGAGTTGTATTGGGTGTGTTAAAGCAGGAAAAACACTAAAATATGTAGGACAGGAAGTAGTCCAGACCCAGGATTGGGAACAGGTGACTTATATTGAGTCTATGAAGAATGGGGCCCAGGAAAATGCCACGGAAAAATACAAAGATTTAGGCCTCTTCCACACCCTTTTTTTCTTTAAAGATAATCACCACTATTTAGAAAAGATATAAAAATTTTGTTAAAATTTTAAAAATTGGCAGATTAGGATTAATCAATACCACGTGGGTCTGCCCAATTATTCAGAATGCTGAAAATCTGTTGGGAAAATGGAATGCAAGAATACAAGCATGAAATAGATCAACGTATTTAAACAAACTGAACTGACGTTTCAATGTCATTTTTAGAATCTTAAGAAAGTAACTTAGAAGCAACATTGAAGTACTATTCTAATATTCTCCATCTTCCTCTTGCCTCCTGACTATCCTTAGGTTTTTTTCTTTAATAGGGACATGCAATATGTACATTACAAATATTCTGAAAACAACACTTTTATTTTCTGTACTTTCTGTAAAAAAAGCATAGCAAAACAAAACAAAACAAAAACAAAACTAATTTTTTGATGTATGAGAATTTTAACTTGAAAGTTTTGAGTTGAAGAGGTGTAAAGAACAAAATGCATGAAGTATGTTTGTATGCATTTTAATTTTGGATTCATTGTTTTTATAAATCTAAAAAACAAATGTTTGCACTTTTTTTTACCTTGAATGTGTGTGGAAAATGTTGTGTTGCTTGTAGGCACTTTACAATAGGATGTTTATGTCCACTAACTTATCACCTTCTCATGACACTGAAATTGTTGTGTTCAGTGGAAAATGGGTTCGGATCAGGATTGAGGGATCGAGGTCAGCGAAGGCCAGAATGTGTGCAGCTTTTTACAGTGTCTTTTTGAATGGAAGAAATTAGAAATTAGAGACATAACAACACAAGGGGATTGTCGTGGCATGTTTTAGAAATGAATTATTGGGGGAATATCATCTACCAGTCTACCTCCTGGACATCTAGAGTTCAGTTCCAAGCCAAATCTAACACACTTGATTCTGCTAATCAACATCGCCTGAAGATGCAGGGATAGTAACAGGGTTAGGATTGGAACTAAATTGTATAGATACTGTGCAAAAGTCAGAGACCACCCTTTCATTTGTTTCGAGTCAAAATTGCCATTAAGTAAAAGTTATTTATTTTTCACAAGATATTTCTGAGGAGATGTAAGATAATCCTTTTGCATATGAAAGGGGAACATCAAAGGAAAATATGTGGAAAAACAGGAGTTTCCAAAACTGAGTTTAGAATGATTAAAAGATGTAGAGAAAAGAAGAAATGAGACTCCTAACAACGATGCAAGACCTAATAGGCCACCAAAACTGTAACCATCACATTAACAGTACTTAAAGCTTTCATATTTGAGAGAGAGAAAATCAAGCTCCACTTTTGCTTCAGACTTCAACATCTAAGACTAAACTTTGGAGGTGTGGAAAAATATCACTGCAAAAAAAAACTAAAAGCAAGTCTAAAAAGCAAGGCTGTGTGTCATTTTCTGTAAAAATATATGTTCCGCTTTTTTTCCTGATGCTGAAAAACGACTACAACTTTTACTTAATGGCTGTTTTGACTGGAAATGAAATACATGAAGGCTAGCCACTGACTTTTACATAGTACTGAAGTCCTCTGGAAAGAGACACTGACATAGTTTGTTCAAAAAAAAAGAGGGCAGTGGGTTCCACTCCCAGGTTAATTTTTAAAAATTAGATGTAAAATACAATCTCAATTTGATCATACTTGTTATCCTGGTTCAGTCCATCAGGTCTTCTGCCAGTTTTGAACAAGACAGGATTGTATTTCTTTGATTTTCATAGCTTGTAAACAAGGGATAATTGGATCCCTCTTACCCACATGGGAACTCTGGCACTGACTGATGTACTATGTATACTCTATATACACATAGAGCTCAGTTGCATCCACAAACAAATGCATTTATTGTCCAAAGTTAACCCTGGATCCCCCATATTTCTGAGATGAAATCTATTTTACTTGTTTTTGAAATATGACCACCTCAGATTTGGTCCTGGGTGACACTGCTATGTTAAAAGTCTAATAAGTACATAGTCCAGTATAGGTCATAACTAGACTTCAGGTGATACTCTATATAGGCTATTTGAAAAGGTAAGCGTGGAGAAACATAATCTAAAGATTTCAGTGTACCTATTTGTCATCCCACGAGTTTGTCTTTCCACAGCAATCATGTTAAAATAAGACACATATTGACTGATGTATGTGTATAGCTGAATTATTTAAGCGGCATTATGGATGTAAATGCAGATATATATTGTTAAGTCACTTTGAGGCAGTTTTTGGGCACTGGTTATACGTAGTCTTGAATTTATTACAAAAAAATGGCTTTTACTGGGTAGTTTAGTCCAAGTCAAAATTAAGGATTTAAATCTCCTTCCAGAAAACTAGGCCAGTGTATACTGTAGAATGGTATCAGTGGCATTATGGGATTATCCCTTTTCGTGACATTCCAACATATTGTACTATTGAAAATGAACATCGGCCAACAGTGAAAGCTTGTAATGATTGCTCACTACCTCGCACCCAAAAATTCTTGATTCCATCCAAATCCTACAACTGCAGGTTTAAATCAATGGTAAAATCTTGCCATCAGTGGAACTACATAAAGCATCATGCTTGCTTCTGTTCCAAAAATCAATGTGAAATCTCTGAAATTATGCCAGAATTCAGAAAAAAAGTGTTTTAAAGAGCATGGATGTACAAGCTTTTGCCCAAGGCCTTAATGTCTCCAAAAAAGACACAAAGGTTATGTGCATTAATCTTACCCAACAAAGATACAAAAGAGTAAAAATCCAGAATAAACCCCTGGATCTTTGTTCAAGTCCTCTTTCAAATATATGTAAATGCAGCATAGGAGTGCTGTGTATATAATACAGAACAATGGCCTCCTCTTTGGCATACAGTTATTTCAAATCTTCAAGAGCGATTTTAAATAGGGGATTAGAATATCAGGGAGGGAGTAAATGGAGCACTGCCATTCAGAAATTGGACTGAGGCTGCCTACCTTCCCCTTTGGCTCATTAGATGGCAGGGTGTTATGCTCAAAGGAAATTTGTTTTCTATTTTTCCATTGCAAAATTGAAGCAATCCGTTTTTCTTTTCCTTGGGACTTAAAGGAAAAGATGAAATACAAGTGGGGTTTGTGGAAAAACCCTCCGATTTCCCTGTCTGTCTTATTGGAGCCTGTGCTACTGAGCTGAAGCTAGTTCTGCTTGGATTTGGTTAAAGGGAGCTAAATCAGAAGCTGCAACTTCTACCTAGAGACAGATTAACATCCTCTGCAGAAAATCCAGAGACTCTGGTAAAGCTGTCCTTTAGTGGTAGGGAACAGCATGACATCTTTGTATTACTATACTTTTTATTTTTCTTATTTATTTTTTATTTTTTAGTGCTGCTTTGCATTACTGAATGGAGTCTATCAGAGGACATTCTGTTACTTTGAACTATTTGAGACTAGCTGATTTTTTTTCCATGCATGCGATAAATGTGGGGTATGTGACAGGGAGGAGACAGCATCACTCATAACTCACCATGTTCTCATGCGCAAAAGCTAGTGATTTCGGTTTCTTGATCATTAATACATAACATTCATGAATACATAATATTGTTTTCTGGTTTCAGAATAATGTCATTTGGGAGGTCAAATGATCAGTCATCCAGAACAATGTATGTTTAGGTTTTTACTCTGGAAATGCAAAGTTATGCGCACAAAATAACCTGGCTGTGGTGAAAAACATCGTTTTGGATGCATAATAATGTTTTTTTTGGGCAAGAGAGATAGAAGGATCATTTTGTCCTCTGATAGACTCTGTATAAATGTAACTAATATACAAAATATATTTAAATAAATTATAATGATGATCAAAAATAAAATCTGTACTAGACCTCACAAAGTTTGGTTTTTGTCTGTTTTAATTGTATGACCTTAATATACATTTGGTACTGACTTACAAGCATACATGCCATTATGTCTGTGTTTCTATGGAAAGCCATTTTAGCTTTTAAACTAAACATATAATTTGAAAAAAAATCAATTTGTAGTAGGTATTATAGTTTGGCTTGTAAGAATTCAGTTATCACTAGTGAGAACTCAGGTTTTTAGAAAGCTGGACTAGCTTTTAATCCACAATTTTTTAAATCAAAAATTCAATTTGAATATGTAAAAATCTAATTAAACATTTAAAAACATTTAACATTTAAAAAACTTTTACTAGTAGATGTAACACTGAAGCA